TCAGAAAACTGACAGCATTTGCTAATGCTGAGCTCACACAACCGTACGAGTCACGTTGTGCGCTGGTCTCATTTTCTGCAGCATGTCAAATCAATTGGGGAGAAGAAATGCCAAGGCCTGCTTAAGAAAGAGCTGCTGTATTATTTTTCTAACTCAGAAGTTTTTTTTCCTCCCTTTTATCTCTTCATTTTCTTAGGTGTATGATTACTTTCCTATTTAAGGCTGATCGCTCTTCCAAAACAGAGCCTTATCCAGTTGGGGTGTGCCAAGGGTTACTCACAGGGGATGCTTGGGCCATTCCCACCTGAGCACTCAGATATCCCAGACTGACAGCAGATAGCAGATGCAGGTGGGAGAATGGTTCACATTTCTGTGTGCAAGACCAAGCTCTGAATTGTTTCCCCCTTCACTGCCCAAGCAAGACTCTCAAGGAATGCAAGGAAAATCTCCCTGAATTAAAAATAAGTCTGCCAGGCCTATGGGATTTTGCAGCCAGAGATTAAGCTTTCTTTCTATGGCCTCCTCACCAGAAGTGATGAAAAGCAGCCCAGGCTGATCTGTATTAGTCCTGCACACATACACAAAATGCTTAGAGAGCAAAACATTTCCAGACCCAGCACTGAGCTGAAGTAAAGACCCTGCTCCACTTTGCTTGGAAACTTCTGTGTCTCTGCCCTACTGTCCCCTGGGAAACTGCATGATTTTGCAGACAGGCTCAGAGCCCTATCTGAAAAGTATTGGTAGTGTTAGAGAAACCCAAATGAAAACTCAATGAGCACCCAGCCACAAGTCTCCATCCCTAGGAATAGCTGAGCAGACTGAGTATCTCCTCTGGTTTTGTTGCTGGCAGGCAACAAAACATCAGGGCTCAAAAGAACAGTTTTCAGCTCTGGAAAACGTAGGCAAACTAGGGTCTTCAAGGGGCAGAAACACACTGCTGGCGAAGGCTGAGTATTCATACTGCTCTTTGCATTTTCTTTCCTCCAGGAACTTCAGAGAAATCCTTTTTTGATCATAGATGGAGTTAGCAGGTTTGATATCATGCAAGGAGAAATAGGTAAGGTCATATTCCTGTTTTGGAAAAGATTGGCACAAAGCCATAACCTGTGATTGCTTTCCTATGTTCTGAGTGCTTGGTGGGAAGACGTGGACCATGGTAGTTGCTGTAAATGATTAGTGCAGGTCAATCCAGACTCACACAAGTCCACACATAATTTATTGCAGATTTTAACAGGATTTCCAAATGCAGAAGCTTTCACCCCTGATACTTGTATATGGCACCTGCCTAGACCTAACTGGTCTAGTGGGAGGTGTCCCTGCCCATGGCAGGGGGGTTGGAACTGGATGATCCTTAAGATCCCTTCCAACCCAAACCATTATGGGTTTGGGTGACATCAGAGTTCCCAAAAGACATTGCCAGTGAAAACTGGATAGTGGTTCAGCATTTTGGGGGGAGGAAAGGGAGACAGTGGAACACTGGTTTCTTTTAAAAAGCTGGGTCTTAGATGTTGAAGTCCGTTCTCCTAAAGAGTTAGTTATGGTCCGCAACAGTGAGTAACTGAGTGAATGCACTGGATTCTTCCCTCCCTTAAGGTGACTGCTGGATGCTGGCTGCCCTGGGCTCCCTGACACTGCAGAAGCAATTTTTGGAAAACGTTTTGCCAAAGGACCAAGGATTCCAAGACAATTATGCTGGGATTTTTCATTTCCGGGTATGTATTCTCTGATGTATTGGTACTGCTCAGCCTTGGCTGGTTGGATTATACAGGTGTCCAAACTGCAGTCCCAGATCTTGACATCCTTGAATGCTTTAGTTCTTCAGTGTTGACTCCCAGTTCAAAATTTTGCAGAAAATCCTGAATTTTCTAATGATTCCTTGTACTCTAGGTGGTGCAATCACACTTCAGGGAATTTGAAGCCCTTTTCTGAAAGTTAGGACTCCAGAGGTACAGATACCAGCTGTTCAGATAGATTTGTTTACATATATATATTTCAGACTTTTTTTTTTTTCTGTTGTCTGCTTTGGTTTGGACAGTTTGTGATGACTGTCAGCACACCTGTGTTCTTTATCTATTTGGACTCATTTTCTGTTTCCCCACATACTTCACCTTGCCTTTTTAGCTCATGGAAATAGCTTGAAATTACAAATCCTTGGAGACAGATCAGAGGAATAGGCTTTTGATATTTTGAAAAGAGATTTGTTTCGGAGAGAGGAGCAAGGCTCTTTAGTAAATCTCACTTTCTACCAACTCTTGAAATTCTCTGAATCTCCCAGGAGGGTGACTGGGACAGTAACTGTCAGGTCTTGCTTGCTTGTATCTGAGTCGACCAAATATATTGTGGGTTTAGAAGCACTTGCCCATTAAGCTTCGGAAGCTAAACTGGATGTAGAAAGAATAAGGATATACTTGGCAATTCCTCATCTCTCCTTTTTTAGAAATCTGTTTTGTTATACACAGTTCAGTACCAAGCAAAGAGCTCTGGCAGTGAGACTTCTTTGACCCCCTGGAGCTCTCATGGAGCAGCACCAGGAGGATTATCTCATGGGCAGTCTAAATTTTGCTCTGTTCCTTTGCTCCTCAGAATACCAGATGTTTCTGCCTTGGCCCATTTTCAGCATGCAGAGGTGCAGTGTATGAGATAAACCAGCTGAAGGGACACCCGTCCACTTAAAACACATTAAAAGGATGCAAGCTAGATTGTCTTTCATGAGAGCTTTGGAAAGATTAGTTAGGAGCAATCCTTAAATCTTAGGCAGTATAAATACCTTACAGTATTTGAAAATGTTTTCCCTGTCATCTCATCTGCAAATCAATGCAACTGTTTCTGGCTTTCCTTGAGCAATAAACCCCTGAGAAAGCTACTCTGAATGGAAATGCTTCTCGGCAATGCCTTTCAATTATTCCATCAAAGATATTTTACTGCCATCCACAGGCTAAGCCACCAGTCCCCAGTTCAGTGAAGAATTGCAAACAAGGCATATCATATGCTAATATAAAAATTTTAGCTTATAACTTTTTTTCACCCTTTTGGATCTGGAGCATGTTGCCTCTCAGGAATACAAAGTGTTGCTCCAGTCTTCCTACACAACACCGGCTGTTTGGCTGCAAGAGTTACAGGAATTAAGCACTTCATCAGCTGTAGTTAAGATGGGTGACATTTTTGTCTGGGGAATAATTACAATGACACTTTTTTTCACCAGGAATTAAGCCAGTCCTGCGTTTTTATAGGAATCACTTTCTCTGCCACAGAAACTCTGATGCCTCTGAGGCAGCATGCGCCACGTGTTTTCAGCTGGGGAAAAAAGCCAGAAATATTCTGCAGGGGTTACACAGTGGCACAGTGCATCAACTCAAAACAGGAGGGATCTGCCCTGAGTGTTAACATTCCCTTCAGGAAGAAACTGAAGAAATCTTCAAAGGCCATAAGTGGTCAAGACCTCAGTTTTAGGCTACATCTAAAAGGTACTTTCTAACACCAAGCAAGAGAGAGTAGTTGAAAGGTATGGGATTTTCACCTTGCTCACTTCTGGAACTGGATTTCTCTGAGATCTCTCTCAAGGGAGGGGAAAAGGGAGGCAAAATAGCAAGAGTATCTCCCTTCTGATCAGCAACACCCTAGTATGTTGTTGTCATCTTGCAACTGCTCATTTCTTTTGCCTGCTCTTCTAAGCCCAGGGAAACAAAGTCCTGATTTAAAGACTCACCACAAATATGGAGGTGAAGAACATTCCTCTTTGCAGCCTGACTAAATAGGGATTCTTTGTTTCATTCACTGTTATGTTCTTAGCTGCAGAACTTTAAATCCTGAGTGAATCAAGAAATTCCACACAGCCACACACTCCCTCCAAAAGGTGAAGATATCGCCCCTCTTTGAAGGCCTGTGAGGGAGAATGGCTTCTCCCATAGGACTCTTGCACTCTCCTGAGCATCCTAGGACTTTCCATGAGGCTTCTCATTGCTGTTGCGGCTTTTCCTGGACTTGCGAACTCTCATGAGATGACCACCTGAAAGTCTGCAGCAGTCAGGACAAAGCTCTTTATCCAGCTGAAGAAAAGTGCTGCATTCAGGCACAGGACAAAGCTCTTTATCCAGCTGAAGAAAAAGACGGTGCTGCATTCAGAAGGCCTCCAAGCTTCAGCTCCCTACCAAAGATGGCCAAGGAAGTTGGCTTTTGAAAAAACGTCACTCAGTGGGTTTGGACTGCATTAATCCCCACAGCCAGTTCTATATTGTTCTCTTTGTTCACTTCTTGTGTTTGTGTGTGAAGCACCACAGGGAAGGGTCACACCTTTTCTCTATACAGACCTGCTGTCAAGTGTTGACTGGTGACAGGAGGGCTCATCAGATGACCGAAAATACAGCTCTTTTTTTGGACTGCACTTTTGCCTGCGTCTCTTTCGGGAAGAGGGCAGGCAGTGGCAGGCTCTTCCTCCAACGCCATCCTGCCAAAATCATGCAGAAACCACTCCTGGAGCTCAGTTTGGAGAGTCCAACCATGCCACCACCAATGTAGGAAGTGAGAGTCCAGGGTGAGGCAGAGCGTAAGGAGGATCAAACCTGCTTTTGGCTGAGCAGGCTGTAAGCTGCTTTGCTGCTGGGCAGATCTGGTCTTGTGCTTTTCTAAAAGAACAGCTCATTTTTTTGGGTTTTTCATTGACCAACGCTGTTGAAATAAAATCATGCTAGACTAAATCTATTGCTGGCATCCTTCCACCGGAGTCCTTAGCATTACTGCAAATAAGAGCTTGGCCTCTTATGATTGCGAATCATGCTAAGCTACATTAATCTGCTAATGACTCTGGAAATGGCTCCTTTAGTTCATCCCCACAGATCTCTTTCCTTGCCTTCTCCCTTGAAAGGCTTCATCAGCTGGATCAGCTGGAGAAACACCTGCTCTGTCCACATGCTGGAGAGACCGCCCGCGTCCTCCTCATCTATCAAGGAGATGGATAACGCCTCAAAAACAGTCTTTAGTCACCACACTGTTCCTGTCCGTGACAACATGTCAGAGTTTTAATTGAAACACAGAGAAGAGAAAGTCAAGAGACTGGATCTTGACAGGGGCTCTCTGGCCAAGAGGTGGGCTGCCAGGAAAAATCCGAGTGCAGCCGAGGAGCAAGGCTCAGTGGACCATCTGTGTGATTGTTCTTTATCATCTTGAATCCTTGCTGTCAGCTGATAATATTAGCATATTTCCCAGTCTTTCCTCTCGCTGATTGCAGGACTGTTTATATTCCCAAATGACTTCTCTCCTGCCACTGGGAAATCCAGCCACTTGGTAGCTTGTGTAACAATGTAGACCATCAGCCTGAAGCAGTTCAGGAGAGAACTTGCACATATCCGTGCTTTAGATTAATTCCTGTGCTATTTCAGGGGGCTGTTGCTTGGCATGAATATTAGCTCTTAAAAGAGGTTCATTCTTTTCTCTCAGTTCTTTTTTTTTTTTTTTTTCTTCTCTCCTTTCCAGTTCTGGCAATGTGGAGAATGGGTGGATGTAGTGATAGATGACCGGCTGCCGTTCCTAAATGGAAGATACCTGTCTGTACACCCTCGAACATCAAATGAATTCTGGCCATCCTTGCTGGAAAAAGCATATGCTAAGTAAATATACCCAGTCTATTCTTCTATTCTTCCACCCGGTGCTGAATGGTGTTTCACCCTCTGCTTTACAGAAAACACACAAAAGTTCAGGGTAACACCTGTGTTTGTTGTGCTTCTGTAAGGAATTGTGGCTGCATGCAAACACAGGGCCAATAAAACCTGGAGATGTTGGTCTCAGGCTGAAGACCTAAATGTACCCAGTCCAACTCTGGGATATTAATGCCTGAGAAGTAAAATGAACAGGGGAGTCACTGAACAGGGGCCGGGCATCTACTTTAAGCAAACTTCTTTGCCTCTGTTTCCCTTTCCGTATCCTCAGCTGGTTAGAACTGCAGACTCTAAGCAGGGATTATCTCTGTTTACAGTCAGTGATCAGAGATCATGCAGATATTTGGAACAGGCAATGAGAGGAAGCGTGGTTAAAGAACATGCCGAGGCACAACACATGTGCTTCTGTGAGTCTCTGGCCAGCTCTCGCTTCACACAGAGAGCTCTGACGCTTGGCTCCCCAGAGTACTGCAGGGTTAATAAATGATCAATAAAGAAATAATGATTTTTATAAGTATCGAGGAGTGAAGGGATCCAAATGTGCTCCCTTAGCATGTTACAATGCCCATTATTAAATGTACTGAAGAGAAATTCCTGTGCTTGGGGTAGCATGAAGGGCTGGGAATTGGTACACACCCCCTACATCAAGCTGGTGTAATGTTTGCAATGCAGTGAAGAGGGGCTGAAGAAAAGAGCTAATTATTTCGGCAGATTTGATCAAGAATAAGCAAATGTCAAAGCAGCATCTGAGTGACTCAGGAATAGGATGCTTTTTGCCCTGAGATACCTCAGAAAAGTTGACTCAGGGTTCAGTATCAATTTGCTGCATAAGATTTTAATTACAAAGCAAACCAAGCCTCTATTAAATTAAAGTTGCAAGCGATGCTGTTTATGAGATTCCCATTTGAGAAGTTTTTCCCCAGTGCCCATGACAAATTCTTTTCATCAGTGTAGGACAAGGACACCCCTTCAAAATACAATTAGCCACAGCCTTCATTTGATTACATTCATTAAAGACAGTGTGTATGGTAGAGTTTAACAGCATGCTCTACCTGCTCTAAGTACGGCATGTTCCAGCTTATTTGCTGTCTCAATAAAAAGCACACGATAAAAACAACAAGGACTGTGTTGGCAATATTAAATTATTATCCTATTATTGTGCTCTAGCAGAGTGAATTTGGAACAGTGCTGAAAACTTGTTTCTGTCTTGCCTTGGGAGCACGGGCAAATACCTTCACCTCTATCTTCCTCCTATTTCTCACGTTTGAAAGGGATACTGGCCTTTTTTGTGTAGTGTCATGACAAAGTATGATGTAGAAACTAACAGTTCAGCTCCATTTGAGCTGAAACATCCATTTGAACTAGTCACCCTTGGCTCCCTTCCTGTTCAGAAGAAGGAAACTGGGTATTTCAAGACGAGATGCAGCTCATCTCCCTCAAACCTCTGCGTTGGCATGAGATGTACCTTATTTTCCACTGCCTGTAAATAACTCCAGACAGGTACCTCAGATGGGAGTGAATACATAGGGAAAAGTCCCTCTTTGCCTCATTCATTCCAAAGGACATGCGTGGTGTCTGGTGATGTCTTTCAGTCACATTTCCTTTCATTGCCCCAATGTTTACCCACCCCATGCTCACCCCTTCAATGTACATGTTCATTTTTGGAAACAGTCACTGTACATTTGTAAATTGTTTATTAAAACACAGTGTAAGGAATAATTAACTTTTATTTCCACACACCTCTCTTCCCCCCAGGTTACGGGGCTCCTACCAGAACCTGCATGGAGGCTACCTTTCTGATGCTTTAGTAGACCTCACCGGTGGAGTCCAAGTGCAGTTTTCATTGAAGGATCCTCCTTCTGATCTGGAGGAAATACTGAAAGCAGCTACCACGTCTCGGTGTCTGATGGGGTGCAGCACCTCAGGCCATGTGAGTCACAGGGCCAAGAGCCTCTCTTGGTTTTACCATGCTTGTATAAAGGTTGCTCTTTTAAGTGAAAAGGAGGTCCATAATCATTGCCTGTAACAGTTACAGCTTATGGATGCCTGGAGAGATCTTGGCAGCAGAAAGTAGATAAGGCTATATAGTAAGTAATGTAAAGACTTTTGGGTAGATGTAGGTGGATTGGTCTGTCAGAGAGGGGTCTGTGGCTGGTCTCCTGGCTAGTGGTATCCTCTTGCAGCAGGGCTGATTTGGGCCTCATAGCTTTGTGACCGATTCTAGCAAGGCCAAAACACACCTCTCTTCTGCAAGAGGATATTCTTTGCATTTTGATTTGCAGGCTGCCAAAATTAACACTGGGAAGTTGCAAAAGGCTTTGTGATGCCCGGCAAGTATGAGCATGTAAGGGAAGACTGCAAAGTCTGCAGCGTGGCTCCTGTAGCATTTGGTTCACCAGGACACAAAGCTTAGTTGCTGCAGACAAGCCAAGGTCTAGTCCATCAGCTCAGATAGCTGAGGCTGGGCTGTGGCAGGGAAATTCTGGGACTGTAAACCTCCCAGTGACCCAGTCCAAGTCATCCTGCAGTCTCAGTAGCTCTAGACCACTGAAGAACTTGCAAATATGTGAAGACCTGGCGTTTTGTTAAATTTACTGGACTGCTTGTGGCTGCAATGGGAACAATAATCACATTCCTGTCTGTCTGAGAAACTGCTGTAGTCAAAACCAAGTCTTCTTTTCTGCCATATCAAATAATAGTTCTCAAAGTTGATGGCCATACCACTGCAGCGTGGCAGAGAGCTAAAAGCTGTGCTTTCTCCCTTCTGCAGCTGAGGAGGAACATAGAGCTGAGGAATGGGATTGTGCAGGGTCATGCCTACACTGTCACAGGAGCTGTGAAGGTAAGAGCAAGGACTTGTGCCTGGCTGGTGATCTCGTACTGGTGATCCACTACAGGGCAGTCACACTGCTGGTCCATTCAGAGTACTTTTAATTAGCGTCGCACCTAGGAGGGTTTGTTGAAAGCACATAGTTCAAATTCCAGAAGATGGAAGGATTCTGGCACAGCTGAAGAGGGAGGATATTTGAATCCTGTAATTTTTTTCTAACTGAAAAATGCAACTTAAATTCACTTCTGTTTTGGGACACTTCAACAGCAAATACAGAATTTCTGGGGGTTTTCATGTCATGCTGACTTTTAAAAAATCCACTTTTCTGTTTCAAATGGGAATAGAAGCACTGGCTGAAATGCTGGGATTTGTCATATGATGCAATTCTACATTTGTTCAGCTCAATCACAAGCTGCCAAAAATCACTGTGTGAAAAGTAAATAACTCACTGGTTCAAGAACAGCATTTCTCCATCTTTTAAAGCTATTCTACTCATGCAGAAACGTCTCCTGGCTAGATATTAATATTACTGATCTGAAAACAGGACCAATTTATCACACAGATCAAAAGAAATGAAGGAGTTTTTGCCACCAGAAGTCAGAACATGTTTTACCGCAGCAAGCTGTAGTGCACACAAGGAGGGTTAGCAGCGAGCAGGGCCAAGAAGAAAACCAAACAATGGTTATTCTATCAAGCAAGAGAGCTACAGCACATTTTAATCTAGGAACTTCAACCACTTTGGAAAGGGGATGTTATTTTTCCTAAGCTATTTTCTTCCTTTTCCCCTTTTCTTTAGTGGTTTTCTGTATGGGCCTGGCTTTGGCTCACAGCACCTCATGCCATGGCATGCTTGGTGCCACCATTATAGTCAGTGTGCATCTTCTTGGAGGACACATCCTCATAGCCAAGAGGAAGCAGGTTGTTTCAGCTTCTTGCTGTCCATGATGTGTGCAGAGAGGAGAAACAGTCTTTGCCCTACATTCCAGGAGTGCCATCTGGGGGGGATGTCCTGTGGGGAAATTATTTGAGGCTGGCCAGGGGCTGGGCCTTTGCCTGGGAAGAGGCCACCACGGCATTTGTTTCTGTCTGTGAGCATAAGGAGAGCCAGAAACAGGAGGTTTGCTTCTCATTCCCACTTTCACCAGTGAAACCAAACCGGTGGAAGTGAGTTTCTTCTGGCTTAAACCAGTAACTGCAAGAGGAGAAAAGCACGAGAAACTCCGGTACTCCTGGAAACCACAGTGCTGTAGGATACAGAGCCACAGATTCTGTTGATCATCATCTCTCCGTGCTGACTGTCGACATCCACCCCAGGCGGTTTGGTGACCTCCTTCCTCAAAGTCTCTGCCTTTGCTGACTCACAGCATCAGATGTGCAGGATTAGGCACTGGACTTTCCTGAGGCTGTTGAAGTCATGCGCTGTGGCAGGAGCGCTGCTGCTTCCTTCTCTATCAGCTGTTCACTGTCCTCAGGAACCCAAAGTTTTCTCCCACCCGTCATTCCTTTACAATGTAGCAAAAGGCACTGACTTTTAGCTGCAGACAGATGAGATCAGAAGTTAAACCAGGTCCCCAAAGTGTAGAAGATGATCCATTTAATTACCCATGTCTTCAATGAATATAGCAATTGCAGATGAGATCAGAAGTTAAACCAGGTCCCCGAGGTGTAGAAGATGATCCATTTCATTACCCATCTCTTTAATGAATGAAAAGCTGTGATTGAGTTTATCTTCCCTCTTTACAGATACGCTACAAGAATGGCTGGAAACATATCATCAGGATCTGGAATCCATGGGGCCATGGGGAGTGGAAGGGGCCTTGGAGTGATGAGTATGGTCTTAAAGCTTTAATCTTAATCACTTTTCTATAAGCTTATTGTAAAGGACCTATTCCTTGCACCCATTATAACAAAGGAGACATTTTAAAATCAAGTCATTGTAAGCCTTTTTCCCACATGCAATGCTACTGCTGACAGAAATCCAATCCAGGGAAAACTAATGCAGCATTGGTTTTATATGTGCTCCTTACTAGGCCTAGTTCAGGTTTCCCTTTTTGTCTGTGTGTATGTTTTTCCCAGTGGGTAATTCCAGATAAAGCATGGATGGAAGGGTTGTTGTTACCTGGATTAAGCTGTGGCCGTGTCCCCAGACTCTGGCTGGCTGCTTCTATGAAATTCTCTGGCAGCAATTATGCGTCCACCTTCCTGCTTCTTCCCCTCCCATGAGTCTGAATCTGGGAATAGTATCATTAGCAGAGTACATGAGAGTTGGGCAGTATTTTTATGCAGTATTGCACAGAGAGAGACAGAAAGGGTCATTGGTTATTGCAAAGGCAAAGTGCTACTGGATGGCTTGAACTGATGTTTTGGATCCTACGTGCACCTTTGGAGATGCAAGGACCACTTTGCTTCTGCGTGTGTAAGCTGACTTTTCTGAGGAAAGGAATGATACAGAAGAAGTCTGCAGCAGTGTTTTATAAATAAATAGATGCTAGTTTTCCTGGTGGAATCAGTGTTTTCCTGACTAGAGAGATGTTCAGCTGTCACTCTCATGTGATTTAATAGCATCCCACCTCTCCCTGTTGCTAGGATCACTGCTAACTTCTCTGCTGAGAAAAGTCAGGGTGGTGAGTTGTGTCTGGGTGGGTTGGCAGGTGGTGCAGACATGTTTAGGGCTGGGATAGTAGCTCTCTGCTCACACAGCATCCTCCCATTTTTTGGAAGGGTGAACTATAATCCTAACTGTAATTGAAATGTCAGTAGTGCGTGCTCGCAGGTAAGCTGCATAAATCAATAAATTATTGATTCATGCTCTGTTTATTTATCTTACACTCTGCAGAAAGTACAATTATCACTTAATTATAAACACGCTGCTTGGAAACAACACATTTGACTGGCTAATGTGCCCTCTACATGTCAGTGTAATATCAGCACTTCAGAGTGCTGTGTCTTGGTACCTCACTAACCTCTCCAGCATGGGGACAAGTGACTGGGGCTTGAAGGGCAGATACAAGGTTCCCCATCCCAGGGTGGGTGACTCAGGCAGAGCAAAGGCACAGAGCTCTGTTTGCTGGCCTTGGCTACGAAGGCATTGAGAACAGCCTTTCTCCCAGTGTGCATTTTGCTCACCTCTCCTGATCCCTCATGACTTGATGGGCTGGTTAGGGGAACGGGCTGGCCAGAGAGATGGAAAATTGTGCCTCACATCTGCTTGTTATGTGTTCCTGTTTGCAGCTCTCCTCAGTGGGAAAATGTTGAGCCTCAAGACAGAGAAGCCTACCTCAGAAATAAGGATGATGGAGAATTTTGGTATTTCCCTATTGATCCTTCTGTCTACCAGATTTTCTATTTGCTCATTATGAAAAAAAGAACCATTTAGGCTAAGTTATCTGCGCTTAGTGATGGCTCAAGGCACCCTGTTAGCTGTGTGCAAACAGTAAATTGGGGGCTGTCCTGACCCCATGGTTTCAGAGGAAACCAGACCTGAAGAAACGGAGCTGGCCAAGATCAAGTAACACAGTGAGAGAAGTAAAAATGAAAAGTGAGAGAAGTAAAAATGAAAAGTGAGAGAAGTAAAAATCCAACTCCCTGAGATCTTGTCATTTGGTCACACTGCCCTTCCCCAGAAAGTGCCTAACTCAAACTCTGCACTAGCTGGTGCTCAGAGGGGACAAGTGGCTGAACAGGTCAAAGAGCTTGTGCACTTGACTGCTCTGCAGGTGCTTGTGTTTTTTCACTGCCTCTGATCACTCTCAGACTCAGGTTAGCTGTGTGTGAGCCATCCTTTAGAAAAGCTATTCTTACTCAGAAGGTGCATAGTCACCCCGTGAGGCTCTGAGGAAAGCAGGGGACTGGCAGGCTGGACTGAGATAGACACTGCAGGCTTCAGCAAAGCTTGAGCACAGGGCAGGACACTGTGGAGGGACAAAGTAAGATGCAGAGGCAAAGATATGCTGGAGACAGCAGGGTTCTGCCTGGATGCTACTGAACATGCCCTGTTATCTCCCTGGGGTTGCAGTTAGGGAAGCCTAAATGCATTGAGAGCTGACCTCTCCTGCCAGGTGTCAGCCAGCTCAGCTACAGCCTCCAGTGCCCCCTGTGTCTTTGAAAGGGGGTGAACACAAGTACCCAACTGGTGTCTCAAACCGAAAGATATTTTCTCCTCTGCAGGATGTCCTGTAAAAACTTCCAGGAGCAATTTTCCTGGCTGTATGTATGTAACAGCACCCCAACGTTCCTGGACTTTGGAGACCAGCACTGCACAACATGGTCTGTGGACAGGCACATCAACCTGTGGAATCCAGTCCACAGGAACAACTATTCCTCAGGTAATGAACACTCCCTGCAGTTACCCAGTGCTCTCCTCCTCTCCACTGGTGCTCACTGTCAAACATTCACTCTGAGCACCAAATTGCAGAAATATTGCTTGCGAGTTGTTAATGCCTGCCCTTTCATGTTACAGCACCTATCAGCTAAAGAGGCAGAAACAAAGCAGCAGCAGCAACTGGCTGCTGAGTTAAAACAGGGGACTTGTGATTTAGAAACCCTAAACTCTTTAAATCAAAATGTGCTTGTCTGTCTTCTCTCAGCCAGTTGCAGTTGTTGTTACTGGGAACCTCATTAGAAAATCTGGTCTGGCAAATATGCGGCTGGTTTTACTGAGCGAAAAATAGTCTGAAATTAGGAGGATATGACATGAAAGGATTGTGCCACAAAGCTCTATTTTCGAAAGTAAAAAGGCCTTTGAGCAGATAAGGCCATTGGTTTTACTGTGCATGCAAAAAATCTTCTAGCATTGTGAGCTCTCATTATTAGTAGTATTTTTTAAAATTTTAATCTTATCTTACCTTACTTTTCTACAGCTGCATCACTATTTGGGTGCTCTGTTTTTAGCCTGAGATGGTAGCGTGTGATCAATGAAGGAGCTTTTTTTTTCTGCCATGCTGATCCCTGACTTAGCAGCAAACAGGGTTTGGCTTACGGGTTTCAGCCGCCTCCGCATAACATTCATCACCGTGTCTCAGGGGATGATAATACAGCAAAGCCTGTGCCCATGGGCACTGTGAATGAGTGAGGAAATGCAAGGGACTGAACTGAGAGCATGTGGGCAGAGCCATTTTCCTTGGAGCTGTGTTTTCCACCAACCCTCTAAAAAAGTTGCCATCCAAGTGCAATCTTGGGCTAAATGGCAGCTTTCAAGGCCACCCAATGGAGTTACATGGCATAAAGTCTAGATGGTTTAAGCAGATGCTGCCATCTCAGTCCTTTTTTTCCCAGTTTGGGCATTGTACTGCTTTCTTATCAGTGATGCTCCCCATTAACCTTGGCCAAAAAGAAACCTTTCCCCTCTGGTGTTCAACCGTCTGTCCCATCCATCACAAACAGTAACAGGAAGGAAAAGGAAGATAGCTTTTGACCATTTTGTCTTTTTCTTTTATGTGTTTATGATCTCTGAACCACGGGCCCTTTCAGCTCACCCACTGGGTCAGGCAGCTGATTAAGAATCACTGCTTTTCTGCCTCAAGGAAAGCGTGCCGAGCAGGTGAAGCAGATGCAGGGGGACCAAGAAATCTGCATGACTTTTATGACTTTGCCAGAGATTTCTAGAATGATTAATGTGCAATTAGTTTAACTCCAGATGCCTCAACTCCTACTGGTAATGTATAGACTACAGTGCTCTGTCGCATTGAAAGGATCTCGGAGCAGTAACTACCTAATCCTCTGGGTGCATATAAGCATGATCTTACACAACAGGCTGCTACTTGGAGTATCTTTGTGGCTACTGTTAAACTATTATCACTTTCTCAGCAGGTGAAGTTTCAAAAAACCCTCAGTATTTCTTCAAAGTGCCAGACTACGGTCCCAAAACTTATAATGTAGTCATTTCACTCATGCGAAAACATGCTGATGATATGCAAGATGCAAAAAACCTGAAGATTGGCTATTTGATCACTGGGGTAAGCACAATCAGGTATCATATAGATATTGTTGTTTTCTGTGTGGCTTATTATACCTGTACATGGAAATGAAAGGCTGAATTACCTTTTGGGCTGTAAAAGAGCAGTCAGTATTTGAAGTAAACTTCTGGATGCCTTCTACCTTAGAACATCACAGGAAAAGTAGAGTTAAGCAGGCTTAGGTTCCTTTATTCATGTCTTAAGAGAGGAAAGGTTGAACTTGCAGTTCTCTAGCATCCCTAAATAGCCCTGGGAAGCTCAGGAAGTCCCCAGGTTACAAGAGATTCCAGGACAATATCCTCTGTGGCCAGCAGTACTGGTGACATGCTTTGCTGGCCTGGCACAAGGCATGATAGCCAGTACTAACCACATCGCTTGAGCAGTACTCCAGGTCTAGTAGGGAAGAGAATGACCTCTTTTTCCCCAAAACAGGCCTGTCTTATTCATTCTCCCTTTTCTATCACAGAAATGCCATACAGAACCCATTTTCAAAATATATGGAAAGCTTTGCTCAAGGCCAATGAACAGTCAATTAATTCAGATACCTGGGACCTCCACTAAGATTTCCCTCTTCGGTTTTGTTTTTTTTCTTGGTGACTGTCCAGAGAGGTGCCAGCTCGAGGGCAGTTACTAGACTTCCTGAAAGCTGGTGTGGATGGATACTAATCTTTTCTAAAGGGTTTTTGCTATTGGCTGAGGAAGGTGGGAGGGGGTTGTTCCTAACTTGAAGAGCAAAAGGAAGCAGAGATTGCTATGACCCTAACTTCACATTCTCCTCATCACTGAAGAGGTTTGCCCTAGGCCCAGACTTTGAATAATTAATGCCTCAAGTCTAATAACTCCTCATAAATGAAGAGTATGGCTTTGTAGCTAAAAAAAAAAAAAAAAAAAAAGTGTCTGAGGAATAAAAGATGTACTAAAGAAGGCATTCCTCCAGCAAGTGGAACTCACTATCCCTATGCAAGGAGATCCTCTGCCTGATGCAGACACCAGCCCTCCATGGGGCCAGCTGCGCCACTTGGAAGGAGCTGCTGCTCCTGGTAAATGAGGAACTTGCTCCTTCCAGCATCCTCATCAGCTGACCCCCAACAGTCAACAGACACGGAGGTCCCATCATACTCTTGCATGACGTGTGCCCACCTTGATTAGTTACCCATTTTGACAGAAAGGACCCTCACTGAGAGGTGTGGCATAGGTCTTGTGTCCCTTGAAAAGAGGTTGTTTAATCAAGAAATAGGCTAGAGGACAGATTTGCTTTACTCTTGCTTTATATTTAAAATGTCTTTCTTCCCCTCCAGTTGATGCTTCAGGTATCTTTATTTTTTCTCTCTCTCATTATATTCCCAAAGATGGATGAAATTCAGTGAGATGTGGCCTCTCTGGGCTGTCAGTCCTTGGCTCACCTCAGGCTTGGTTTGGGCTTCTGATGCAGATGATCTCCTCTGCAGTAGGAGAACAGGCCATTACTTAGGGGTGTTGGATTACCATGGAACACCTGGTCAATGAGGGAAAAGGGGACTGTCATGCTGCTCTGTCATGCCATAGCTTTTAGTAATGCAATGATATTGGTACAAATCCACCCAGCAGATAACACACAAAATATTCCCCCATGTACATAGCCTAAGTATTGTAACGTGAGAGCTGGTCTACCAGCTGCTCATGGCCAGTCCAGCGTCCTGCCCTGGCAGCACCAAAAGCCAAGTCCAGGAGCTAAAATCAGGGTAGGTGTTCAGTGCTATATTTCCCAGCATCTCACCTCAGTGCCTGAGGGCAGTCAGAGGTGGTGGCATCTTTGTGTGAAAGTTTACAAGTGGTTTTCTTTGCACAAGGAGAGTGCAATTGCTAAGATTCATGTGGCTTCACTCTTCCTCCTTCAACAGCTTTCACTGCCATTACTCATTAGCAGCATCATTCATTGTTCAGTACCTTTTGAGATGCATCAAATTGTTGCTGTGAAATATTATTCCCTGGTAGGATGAGAGGGGAATGCAGCACAGGCAAGGATGCAAACCAGAATGGACATATCTGATAGCTCTAGGAAGCCTTTGATTAAATATAGATGTGGAACACTAATACATGGCTGTGAGGGAAGTTTAATGTTGTGTGATAGAGCTGAGCAATGTATAGAGGCTGTTCTTATCTCACACCGGTTTTGACTCCATTGAGATATTAATCTGCTTCTACTTTTTACTAGAAGGAATGTGGAATGAGACCCAAAAGTAAAAAAAAGGATTACACTATTTATTTCTTTGCAGCACTGCCCATTTCTATCTGCTGAAGATCCGACCCATAATACTTGGCAGTCTACATACCTCCCAGCCGTCTGTAACAGTAGTCATCTTTTCTTTTTTTTTCTCCCAAAATAGCAGTTTTATGTTATTTTCTCCCAAAGGCATGGCTCATAAATAACTCTGCCACGCTGTATAACCATTCTAAATGGAATTTATACATGCTGATATATTTTGGGGAATATGTTTAGTAAGGGTTTTTTATTATGCTATCTTTACATGTCATCATAGTAATAGCTGTTGCATTATATTTGTTTCATCTCAGCAAAAATACTGGAATAACAGAAGAAAGATCAGAATATTCTTTTTACTTGTGACACTTGCTGGAAGGTTTGAGTTGTGATTTTTGAAGCATTGTCATCTGGGTGAGATGCTCAGTGAGCTCTCTGACCACTCTGAGTCACGCTAGATCTCAGGGAAGTTTTAGTAAGAGTACTCATCCTTGATTCCTTCATGAACTTCGATCTGCTTAATGTTAATTGAAGTTCTCTTCAAATCCACTTAAATACATCTTGCCTTCTGTTTCTTTCAGTTCTTCCACCCTTGTGCATTTTGGTATGTCCTTGAACAAAGTCTGTCACCTGGATGGGCTTTTCATGCCGCTGGGGAGGTTAAGGCATGTTAGATGCAGTGTATATTTAGAGAGCTGTGGGATTGTAAGGCTGCTGTAAGTGCACTTTCTGATTTACTTTGGTTCCTGACACGGAGGAGAGATAGCCAGCTATATTTTTCTTTCAGGAGAACTCCAAAGTTCTGAAACAGATTTTTTCCCTGACTCGAGACGTGACCAACTACTTTATCTTGAGCCCAGGAACCTATGCTGTCATTCCTGCTACAACAGAGAACCAAGAATTTGAATTTCTCCTACGAATTTTCATGAAGAATCAAGACTACAGCGAGTAAGATGATAAGTACTCCTTACAGGTCCCAGACTTACGGTGTGCCAGGACTTAACAGTTTAATGTCAAGATAACTAATGTGGCAATTTGATTTTAACATACTCAGAAGTGTGCTGGGAAGACACAGCCTAGTGTTAAGCACCATGCTGAGGGGGATCAGATGTTTTGTCAGATGTGTAGGGGTGGCTGCTGCAGAAAAAGACAATAGCTCATCTGCAGCCACCAAGGGTCTCAGCTTTGGTGCAAAGAGCCACACAAGTGAGCAATAATTGTGAACTACACCCTCCCCAGTTGTAGTCTCTTGAGTGAAAGGAGGATTAAGAGCCTGTAATTGTGAACTACACCCTCCCCAGTTGTAGTGAAGTCTCTCTTGAGTGAAAGGAGGACTAAGAGCCTGCTTTTCTTAACAGCTGTGATGCAGTTTCTTATGTTTCACCGGTTAGACGCCAGACAGATCAGGTCCATTCTGCTCAGAGAAGGACCTAGAGAAATAAAGAGCTGTGAAAGGGCCTTGATCCTTTCACCCAGACATGTCATAGACAGGCTGCTAGGGCTCCATGTGGGTATAAAAGGGGCCTTGAAGAAAATTTTAGTGAAAAAATGGTATCATAGTTCATGCAAAGGCAGCTATTACCAAGTTTTTTCATAAATATCTGGGTGTGCATTAGGTAAGAGCAAGCCCCAGCATTCAGCCTTACTAAATGACCTTCAAGCACCAGGTACGCAGTGCCTTTCCTTCAGCAAGATTTATAGCAGAGGTGATTGCAGCTCTTATCTCAGAGGCCCATATCTTAATAATGAGATTGCTTTCTAGGCTTTGGCCCCTGGCAAAGAGTAGCCCAGAACTGACTTAAGGCCACTCCTTAGTTATGGAAAACAAACATGAGAAGTCTGTGGTCTGGGCTGGACTGCCTTCGGCACGATGAGTCACGCACGAGATGGCTCAGCCTTGGCAGGTAGGTCTTTCCAGGAGAGCCTGTGACCCTCCCACACCTTCCTGAGCTCAGCCAAGCGTGGAGTCTCCTTTCTGTTGGTCTCTGTAGGACTCACCTATATAATAGCACAGATGCTATAAAAATAGCATCTGGCTTGCCTAATTTCTCTACCAAAAGCAAAACTCAAGTACTGAATGTTGCTACTAAAGCAAGTCTCAGGAGAACTAGTGACCCCAACTCAATTTCAGGCAGTTTGCAGACATTTAAAAGATGTTGCCTTTTAATAGCCCAGATGCTGTTTTTATTCCTGACTATTAAATTAGTCAAAGAGAAAGCAGGTGAAAATTTTATGTGGCTCAAGGCAGGGTAGCCCTGTCTTCTGTGTCTCAAAAAAGGCCCCTTCTCTCCGAATTTTACTCTTGTAACTCTTTTTTCAGGAACTCAAACTCCCTACCCAGCCCAGTGCTGCCGATGGTAAGAATCTGTGAAAACTGATGTAGATAGTGGTGGTGGTGGTGGATTGTTCCCAGGGAGCTGGCCTTTTGGTAGCCACCTCTACCAATTCCTGTTCTTTGTTCCTTACATACCAGACACCACTCTTCTCTTCCCTTTCTCACCTGGCCCAGAGTTTGCCTCTGGTACCCTGTGACTTTCCTGGGACAGCAGGTGACCAGCCTGGGGTACCTCTCTGCAGAGATGGGAGTGACAATGAAGCCCTTCCTCTTCAAATATATGTCTTTTTCAGAGCCTGATTTTTTTGAAGGAAACAAATCTTATACAGTCCCTCTGTCAGCCTGTCCGTCTGGAAGGAAACAAATCTTATACAGTCCCTCTGTCAGCCTGTCCATCTGTATGTCTTTTAAGTACCTCCAGGGATGGTGACTGAACCACTTCCCTGGGCAGCCTGTTCCAATCCTTGACAACTCTTTCAGTGAAGAAATTTTTTCTAATATCCAATCTAAACCCTCCACCAGGGGAGGTTTATGTTGGATATCTAAGAGCTGAAAGCATTAGGGCTTTGGCTTAGATTTTTTTGGGTAGCTTTATAATATTAAGGATAGTTTCCCTTAGTGTCTGGTGGACCTCCTCACCAGAGGGTTGCAAGAAAACCCCTTAACCATTGAATTGGAATTGCTCAGGGGCATTCAGCCTGCCTTGGGGCTGAGAAGGTACAAGAGAAAGGAAGAGTCAACTCCTGCTTTATTTTCTTGGCTCACATGAATCTTCACATGGTCTAAGCCACTTGTTTCAACTGAGGGCCATCAATAGCCATCAGGCTCTGTATTTCTATAGTCATGTATTGACTTGCTGAACTTCACCCTGGACATGTTCTGTTGTCTTCCTCACGCCCTGAGCTGCTCTTTCCTGGTTGTACTGTAACATCCAAACTATGCTTCTTCCTTCACTGTAGTAGTTCTTTCTTGCTTCTAGTCCACATTACTTTCAGGGTGGTAAAACTGCAGCCTGTACTGTACATTCCTTGCCCTCTCTGAAGTGCTGTTTGGTTCTGCAGACTTCTGCCTCCAGTTGTTTTGTAACTGAATTATTTATGTGCTTACTTTGTCTTTGATCCAGGATGTACCAAGACAGAACCAGGACAGCTCCTATAAGGCTGTCTTCTCAAGATACGCTAAGCAGGTATCCTATCTAAAACATCTTGCTGAAAAATAAATAAAAAAGGCATGTGGGCTTGCAAAAAGAAAAACTGATTTCTGATGTTGGTACAAATACATTTAGAAAAATGTTTTTTGGAAATGTAGCTCCATCCTCAAGCTGATACCCTGAAAACAGTATTGATTCACCTGCCAAAACCGCCAGAAAAATGGGACGTTCACCTGGGATAGATCTGCTAGCCCCATATACTATAGGAGGATTGGAGATTTGTGGTTGGGTGATGGGCTTGCATGGGTACTTTTTTTTCCCTCTTTTTATTTGGCTTTGGTTTATTTATTTACTGAAAGCAATTAGAAAGCCTTGGGTATTCCCCCCTCTCATCAGCATCATTTTCCATTTGCCTTCGCAGCGTTTGGAAACCAGACATCAGTCAGTGTTTGAGTAATTGATTCCTGCTCTTTCTGAGCCAAACTCTGTGTGTTCACAGGAGATGCTCTTAATGGTTTAATAAACTGTTAGAAAGAACTCCTTGACTTAGTCAAGAGGAAAAAAGATCACTGCCAAAAGTCTTTGCACAATGGACCTCTTGCAGTTAATAGCTATATTGGTGCGTGAAGGTGAAAATGAACACGGGCTGCCACGCTGTATGACTTTGGGGTGTCTCAGGAGGGAGGCAGTCAGGTTTCCCAGTGGGTTGGGGGGGTCTCAGAAGGAAGCAGGCAGCAATGCCTGTGCTCCCAGCCCAGTGACCCAGCTGCTCGCTGTGCCTGTCCATCGGCAGCTCCCCAGCTCTAGGGGCTGGTGAAGCCAGCAAGTGTTCCCATCACTGCTGGAAATACCCCATGGTGATGGAAGTGCCTGCAACTCCCCTGCAGATTCTTGTAGGGAAGGGACAAAGAGTAGCCCAGCAGCGTGGAGGGGTTAGTTGTGCTCCTGAGGGGATGCTGCTCCTCTGATATAAGTAGAGATGCCTCTTGGTTACCAGAGTGCATAAGTAAAGAAGTTTTGGGCAAAAGTGACACAGGAGAAAACTTTGTGTTCACAGACCTCTCTTTGCTTTTTATTCTGTATTAGGGCTCAGCTATTGATGCCTTGCAGCTGCAACAGCTCCTTAATGAAGTGATCCTGCAAGGTAAAGCTTTTTACAACCCAGCTAATGTCTTTTGTGCTTCCCTATCCTTAGTCTAGTGTAAATTAGACAGAGGATTTAGTGGTGTCCTGATGGTCCTCAAAAAATCCTCAGTGTGGCTTACTGCACTGTTGGATCTTGAAGAATGGGAACTGCCTTCACTGGGGTTCCTTTACATGCACAACAGTTTGGTTTTATTTTTTTTTAAGAAAATCAAAGCAATATTCACATGAAGAAGGCAATGCAATGCAGAACAGCTGCTTACAATGCATGGCCATCAGCAAAGCTGTGCATCTGCTTGACAGCCAGATTTCACCCTCTCCTCTGTCTCCCAAGGGATAGCCTCTGCTTTGCAGACCTACCCTTCTCCATGCTTCCCTTCTCCTGGATGTCCCTGCAGCCCCTAGGAGTGCCCCCTTCCTGCTCCATGCCCCTCCAACTGCAGCAAGAACTCAGTCCCTGGCTGAGCTGCACCAGTGAGCACCCCAGGGAACTGTGCTTCACAGTCTCCTTGCTGCCACCCAGTTTCTCCCCGTTCAGCCCTGGCATGCACTGCTCTGCAGATGCCTCAGGCTAGCTTTCAGCATTTCCCTGTCTTCCCAACCTGCCCACTTTGAAAACAGCATGAGACAGGGGCACAGCTGGAGGGCTCAAACCAACTCAGGCATGCACAAGACTCAAAGCGCTCTTAAAACTCACTAATTCAGCATAAATGGCCTTTCTTCTGACTGTCGTTTCCCTTATCCTGACGTCAAGAGGGAAAAGCTTCCATCAGGGCAGATAGGTGGGCAGAGGCTGTGCTGAGCAGCTGCCTGTGAGCCCAAACAGGGCACCCGTCCTTGGGGAAGGGAGCAGTGGAGATCTCTGAGACACATCAGACTCCATCAAAACAGACCTCAGTTTGGCACATAGCCATTGCTGCTTTTTGAGAATCCGAGGCAGATCTGGGGATTTTTAGCTATGTGAGCCTTCAGATTGGTGTCCTCCTTCCCTCTGAACGGTGACCTCCGTCAGTCCCCTTGTTCTCACTAATTCCTTCTGTTTTATCAATCCTTGCAGATGAAATGACCAGCCTGGGAGGAAAATTCAGCTTCGATTCATGCAGAGGCATTTTAGCTCTGATGGATGTATCCTTTCAGCAGAAGCAATAAACTTCCCTGGTGCCGCCCATCCTTGCCTTGAGTTATGGCTGAGCTGAGCATCCCAGCATGAGAACTTACGAGTAAATATTAGCTACAGTCCTCAATAAATAACTGTCCCAGAGTCTATGTGGGACTTTGCCATGCATGCCTTGGCTCTGATGTCTCTGCTGAAAGGTAAGGGTCAACCTTCTGCTACCAGCACACTCTTTACTCGCATTTTCCCCTCTGCAGGGCCCAGGGCTTGGCTAAATTTCACCCTTGGGCCCAGGGTCGCCAGCAGAACCCGAGGCAAGGAGGCAGCACAGATCTCAGGCATCTGGAAAAGCTCAGCTCTTCCATCATGGCTGCAACTACGATGGCTTGTGGTGGCATCTCAAGCCAGCTCAAAGCTGGTGTTAGGGGGAGAAGGCTCTTCCATCATGGCTGCAACTACGATGGCCTGTGGTGGCATCTCAAGCCGGCTCAAAGCTAGTGTTAGGGGGAGAAGCAATCATAGAATTGTCTAGGTTGGAAGGGACCCTTAAGATCCTCTAGTCCAACCATCAACCTAACTCTGATAAAAACCGTCACTAAACCATGTCTCTAAGAACTACATCTACCTGTCTCTTAAACCATCACTAAACCATGTCTCTAAGTACTACATTTACCCGTCTTTCAAATACCTTCAGGGATGGTGCCTCAACCACTTCCCCAGGCAGCCTATTCCAATGCTTAATAACCCTTTCAGTGTAAAAATTTTTCCTAATATCCGATCTGAACCTGCCCTGGTGCAACTTGAGGCCATTTCCTCTTGTTCTATTGCCTGTGGCTTGGGAGAAGAGACCGACCCCTGCCAAATCACAGGCAATTGCCTTGCAGACCATTCATCCTTTCCAGTGTACCTTCCCCATACAGATGGATGGCGCAGCCTTCTTACTGTTAAGAAGGCAACACTGGAAATACATTGCTGACCTATGTAGAACAAGAGGACTCCTTGATGAAAACATAAATTCCCCCCCATGTGTTTTCTCCCCCTTGCTTACTCACTGTGTCTTTTCTTCCAGACCTTCTACTAACTATGGGACATTTTTAGACCTTTACAAACTGCCAGGGAATGAATAAAAATGACCAGAAGTCCCTCTCTCTTTCCCGCTTCCTGCATCTAGCCGCTGAAAGAGACTCTCACCCCTTTCCAAATCCCCTTCTGGGATAGCCCTCTCTCTTTCCCGCTTCCTGCATCTAGCTGCTGAAAGAGACTCCTTTCCAAATCCCCTCCTGGGATAAGTGAGCACTGCAAATACATGGAATGTGCAAAGAACTGACAAAGCCACTGCTCTGCTTAATTTGGAGACAGATTTTTCATTCCTTGGGTTGCGTACAACCCATGTACAGTGTGACCTACCCTGGCCTGCAAAGACAGGATCATCCATTTTTAACTCAGGTTTCATGGCGGTGGCACTTGTCTGCTTATGTTTCACCGGTGATGAGTTTTGCTTTCAGAGAGTTTTTGCCATCTCAGCTGCGTTAGGTGAGGTGCTGCATATCTGGCCAGGACTCCTAGCTGGTGTACAAAGGGGAGTGGGTCCAGTGACGTAGTCCTTTGAACATTCCTGGGGGATCTTGGCTCATACCTCTGGACTCCTGCAGCTCATGGAAAAGGTCTTTTGTGCCTGCAGCACATCTATGGCTCAAAGGCTGCTGCTGCCTTCTGACAGCAGGTGTCAGGATCGGCTCCTTGTGCTCTGGACTCCTTTGGTGGCTGTTCCTCCAGGAGGATCTAGCCATAGCTGATGCTGGGCTGCCTCACGTACAGAGGCAAGACAATGTGCACACGTGGCCTGGAGCACGGGGTCACCTTCATCCACAGGGGCCTCTGTGCTCAGTGACTAGATGTCAGCTGAAGCAATCGCTGTGGATTCCCTTGTGGTTAAAGGCACCATATAAATAGAAACCTTTTGTTGTTGGTGAGCACAGGTATGAGCAGCTGAACAAAGTGCCAAAGAAGGTGAATTTAAGCTAAGCATAATTGAGAGCAGAAAAGCTCTTGGCTTTCTCAACACAATGCAACAGGCAGAAGAGACTGTATCTTATGTCTTTCTTTATGCGAAGGCAGCATCCCCAGGAATGAAGACAGCCGGGTTTAGTTCTCATTAACTGTTCAATTCTTAACTAAATGCACAGCTCAACTCGAATGGACAACTCACCCTGCAGGAGTTTGGGACCCTCTGGCGAAGTCTCAAAAAGTACATGGTACATGGGGGTTGCTCTCTCTTCTCTGCTGATACTGTGACTCTTGGGCTTTTCATCAGTGGGGGGCAGATGCTCTGTGATATCAAAACACTGCGGGGGAAATGTTGCTAAGGTTGCTTGCTTAGTGGGTCAGGTTTCTATCCTCTTATGCAAAGGATGAGAGCTCAGTGGTATGTGTAAAGGGCTCCAAACGAGCAGCTGAGGCTTTTCTAGTGCAGGGAATATCGAGGTGGAGAAGGTAGGAAGGCCAATTGGGCTCAGAATTTGATGGAAATCTCTGTTTGTGTGCCACCACTGGCAATTTTTTTTAAAAGCTTTCTAAGATGAATTCTTGAACAAAGTCACCTGAAAAATATCCCTTCCTCATTGCTGCAGTTTGTACTGGAACTGTATAGGAACCGATGATATTTTATCTGGGGCAAATGTCTCTGCTCCAGGATAAGCATTAGGTCTGGAAACAGTGAGGAGAGTAGCTTGGTATTTATGATCCCAGCTACATTCAGGCAGCTTCCCTATGTCGGGTCCTTCTCCCATCAGCCTTGGTGTGGGACAGGAAGATTTTCCTGGAACCGGAGAGTTGAATGGGAGGAGAGTAGCTTGGTATTTATGATCCCAGGTAAATTCAGGCAGCTTCCCTATGTCAGGTCCTTCTTCCATCAGCCTTGATTTTCAAATTTTCCTGAAACCTAAGAGTTGAATGTGGTCTACTTTGTTTCATCCCTCTTGAGAGGGTTCTGAGGCCACCTAGGACATGGGGTGCCCGTTCCCCATCTAGCAATGATGCTCATCCCACCAACGGCACCTCAGGTGTGGCTTGTGGGGTTTCAACAGTGTGTTGGGAAAGCTGACCCCACAGCATTCTGGGACTTATTTTATGTGTCAATGTATTTTTTGTCAGTGGAGGTGTAAGTATTCCCATTGCTGCCTGTACACATAAACCAGGGAGAATGAGCAAAAAGTCTCCCACTCACCCCAAACTGTTGGATTTCTTATGCTGTAACACACTGACCAAGCCTTCTGGAGATGGATTTCCCTTGTCGGTCGCCCCATCTCATCTGTTGAACTTTCTTGCAGCCTGTTTATTAAGGAGGGAATGCATCCTACATAATTGCATGCAGTAGTAAGTTTGGGGAATATTGATATGGGCTTGAAATCTGTCTTTACACTGTTTTGCAGGATATCTTCATCAAGGAAGACAGAAACCGTTCTGGATTTCTTGATGTGTTTGAACTGAAGAACGCGATGCAGACAGCAGGTATGTCCCCAGGTGCTGAGCAGCTCTTTTTCTTGTCCCTGTGGCAGTGAAGGAAAAGATGAATAAGAGAGAGGAAAGAACAAAGAGCCTTAGGGAGAAAGCAGTTTGGATTTCCCAGAGGTGCCAGTTAAATCACAGCTCTGCATTGTTTTAGGGCATTGAGACAGAAAGCTAATTTCAGGGAGAAACTCTTTGCTCTGCAGCTGGGGAGGTGCAGGGAAGCACAGGACTGGCCAGAGCCTCCAGACTGATTTATCCATAAGGTGCCAGTTAAATCACAGCTCTGCATTGTTTTAGGGCATTGAGACAGAAAGCTAATTTCAGGGAGAAACCCTTTGCTCTGCAGCTGGGGAGATGCGGGGAAGCATGGACTGGCCAGAGCCTGCAGACTGATTTATTCATAGTCTCTCTAGGTGACAGACAAAAAATCCAGTAGTTCTGTCCATGGAGCAAGGAGCAGTTGATGTTTGCACTTACCCCCAATCCTGCTGTTTCCCTGCAAGACAGTGACTTAGTCTAGAAGGCAAAGCCACAGTGACAGACATTTATTTAGTTTGCACTGACCTCTGTTGGCTACAGGCATGCTGAAACTCTCAGTGAGTGCATGGGACCCCTGAAGCATTTTAACAGGATCCTCTCTCTGTGTGTGAAATACAGCTCTAAGACAACAATCCTCTTAGAATGTAACTAAAGTAGGGAAGCTCCCATTTGGGTCCCCGGAGCTTCGAGAGGTGGTGTCTCCAGGAGAAACCTGCTGCAGAAGTGCTATCTGTGGAAGCCGTTGGCTCAGGGGACGTAGATGAAATTCTCCTGTTGCTGTGGGGTGGGCAGGATGTGAGTGTCTGCCCCTGGAGCACAGCACTAACGTGCCAAATGTCAAAGGGGAAGCTGCCAGATCCATTCTGCAAGACAGGCACTACAGAGTAAAACTGGGAGGAAAATTGTACATTGAGAAGTCATGGCAGCCAAAATAGTGCAGCTACTTGAAGGCATAAAAGGCACTATTAAATGGCAAATTCAACATGTGTTAGGCTATAAGTAGTTCTGAGTGGGGGGGGGAAAAATAATATTAAAGGCTCCTTCTTGCCATCTTATGAGCTAGACAGCTGTGTTTGGATCTGGCTTTGCATTAGGATGACCCCCATCCTGGCTTTTAAGCAGGAAGGAGCAGATAGGCCCAGGAAGCATTTGGGAGGTTGGTGCTACCTCTGGGAATGGCACTAGTGCACCATATAACAATGTACTGTAATGTCCTGTCCTGAAAAGCAGGAACATTGACTCAGGGTATTCACAAACACCTCACTGGCAATATTAAATGGATCAAAATAATTTTAAAAATAGGGAAAAAATAAGCTTAAAGCTTAGCTAAAACCAGAGTGAAGAATCCAGCAGACAAAAAGCGTGGGGGAGAAATCTTACAAATAAGTAACAGCAAGTAATTGAAACGTCTTTGGAAGAGAGAGGGCTGACATTCCAGTCTTGTTGATAAGATTAATTGAGAGGCGTTGCCAGGTGAGCAGATTTCAGAGCAGGTATATCCCATGGCAAATTGTTGGTGTTTTACTAGTGTAAGTCACGGTTATAGCATCTCGTGAGCAGCACTGCCGTGACTGCCGGAATGCTCTCCGGAGAGAGCATGATTGGTTAAAAATTGGGTAGGATTCATTGCTCACTACTACAGCGTTTCTTGGCAGTAGTTTAAAACCAGAATAAAAGACAAAATTCCATTAATTAGATTTTTTTAAATTACTAACTTCTCCTCCTAGGAAAAAAAAATATCTCAGATCTGGTTTATCATCATTTGAAATGTATCTTAAGCCCAGATGTATTTGCATTATTTAAATATTCAGCACTGTCTGTCTGATTCCTGCTGGAGACCTTCCCCACTGGACTCGTGCAAGCAGAGTTTGACACAGTAACCCACCTCCATCAGCTGTATCTCCCCCTACACAAGTATAGAGAAACCATTTCCTTCTTTTCAGATTATTCAACTAATTTATCTCCATGATGAATTCATTTAAAACCAAAAAGTTTAGAGCTGATTGAAAAAGCAGGAGAGCTGCTTCTCTTCCAGCTGAGCCACTAAAAACTAGGAATGAGCAAATGAGACTTTTCTGAAGTCTCAGAGAATGCATTAAGCCAAAGATATCAGTCAAGCTCTCTGCAGAAGATTTCTCTTTTGTTTAGCAAATCAGCTTTTAGTGCAAAATATATTTAAATCATTTCTCTTATGTAGCCAGCACATTTAGGGTAGTTTTATTTAACTAATAAAAGAATCATTCTAAAAGGCAATTTTTGTTCATTCAATTGAATACCAATTTCCAGCCAAACAGCCTGTGACACAAATACTGAATAATCAGCTAATAAAAAAGAAATGCACCCTTCACCATTCTCTAATAGAAGAGAAAATGTAAAAATTAAGAATCCCAGGCATGCTATACTGCATAATGGCATGAACGCGCGGTATCTCCCTGTTTAGCAGAAAGAGGCAGAGGTATTGTAAATGCTGTGCTCAGGCTTTAACAGTTATGAACCAAAGAAAATCACTCTTTCTGATAAAAAATAAAAGCTAAAAAGGCAAAGCAAGATAACACTTGATTACTTAGCTCAATGTTTCCTGCCTGCTGACCTGAGCCACCATTCGAGGAAGTGACTAGAAGGACTTTGATTTTCCATCACCCTGTCCTGACTCTTGCGCACAAACCTGGGGAAAGGCAAGCTGCTCTCCAGGGATGCAAAGACCTGGTGTGACACAGTGGGGGGCTAAAGGAGGGCAGCTTCTTTGCAGGGTGTACAAAGCCATCAGAAACCATCCATTTCAGGCTGGATATTAGGAAAAATTTTTTCACTGAAAGGGTTATCAAGCATTGGAATGGGCTGCCCAGGGAGGTGGTTGAGGCACCATCCCTGGAAGTGTTCAGAAGACGGGTTGATGTAGTGCTGGGAGGTATGGTTTAGTGATGATGTTCCTTGTTTGTTGTGTGGGTGTCTATTTTTGTCAGTTAGGTTGACGGTTGGACAAGATGATCTTTAAGGTCCCTTCCAACCTAGAAGATTCTGTGATTCTGTGATCACCCCACAGCATGTCCTCCAGTGCTGTTGTTCCTCTTCCTCCTGCAGGTCTGACCACCAACGAGCAGCTCCTGCACCTGATCACCATGCGGTACGGTGATACTGCCAGAAGAATTGGCTTCTCGGACTTCGTGTACTGCATGCTGCGCCTGGAAACCATGACCCGTGAGTCTCAGCACTGGGGCTTGGGGTCAGGCAGGGACATGGCTGCAGGAGAGCTTTGCAAAGCCCCCCCTGATGGTAGTGGCAGCAGGCAAGGGATGTGCTACTAGAGCTGATCGTAGAATGGTTGGGGTTGGAAGGGACCTTAAAGATCATCCAGTTCCAGCCCCCCTGCCCTGGGAAGGGACACCTCCCACCAGACCAGGTTGCTCAGAGCCCCATCCAGCCTGGTCTTGAACCCCTCCAGGGATGGGGCAGCCACAGCTTCTCTGGGCAACCTGTTCCAGTGTCTCACCACCCTCACAGGAAAGAATTTCTTCCTGAGATCTCATCTAAATCTCCCCTCTTTCAGTTTAAAACCATTCTCCCTCAGCCTATTGCTTCACTCCTTGATCAAGAGTCCCTCCCCATCTCTCCAGGGGGGCTGTTGCAAGGAGAGAGTGTCTGTAAATAAGCCTTTGCCTGAGACTAAATGGAATTCTGTTTTACAAAAACATAATATTTATTATTATAAGTATTTTGACTGGAAATACCACTAGTTAAACAAACGTGGCAATTGCAACCCATATGCTAGAACATTGCTACAGCAATTTAATTCATCTTCGGAAGGAGCTGGGTTTCAACAGCACATGGAAATGAGTGCTCATTGTTTGCCCGTGTGATTTTACCACTGATGTTTTAAGGGCCAATAGTGGTCAGCGGATCCGCCTGGGTGACACTACCCAAAATCCCATTTCAAGGGAGTTCGGCAGAAGCAGCTCAGAAAATCAGAGCATGTCCTGATTTTAATGCTTTCATTAAAAAACAGACAACTTGTAAAGCACCCATTTTTTGTCATTATACATGTCACTTGCTGTAGATGAAAATTCTTATGCCTAAATTAGTACCATGGCATTTTTTTTTTTCATCTTAAAAAAAGATCCCCTTACATTTTAAGTGCCAGTGTAAGGACAGCTCCTTTACATCCATGTGGAAAGGAATATCTAAAAATTTCATTGCTGTCTGTAATGAGTATCTTAAAACGCACTCAAGTCTTTCAGTTATCACTTTATGGAGGGTTTAATGTGGAATACATCTCTCAAACTTTTCAAATCATTGTGAATAAGATTTTTACAGGAGAAGATAAGTGGGAATAAAAGGCAGTCCACCTTTATGATGATGCGAATGCAGCAGGGAAGATAAAATCTGTCCCCTTAAATCATTACTCATCCTCTCAAGACAGCCAGAGATGAGACCCAAACCAAAAGCAGCAGCTTCTTTGCAAACTCTATTTAACCAGAGTTAATGAAGCAGTAAAGGGGCACTTACCTCTGCCCAGAGGAGGTAACTTCAGCGCTGCCAGTTGTTCCTAGAGAGATTGCTGGGTGCAAGCCCAGCCCTGTGAATACAACCTTGTCAAGGGGGGGCAATGTGGGCATTCATTCCCTTGAGCTATGCCTTTCCTCGGAGCACTGTAGGCTGGATGTGTTTCATGTGTTATCCTTCCTGCCTCTTCTCTGCTCTGGATCATATAAGTAGCTCTGCTTGTCCCCTAAGGGGCAGATGAGCCCCTTGGCACAAGGTCCTTGTGCCTTGTTCCTACCCTCTCCCAGCAGCCTTGCACTTTTGTCTAAAACTGGGCAGGTTTCAAAACATTCATGATGTTACAATGCCTTTTCAGGGTGGGAAACAGGCTCCTGGAGAAATGTGTCATTTAAGGACAGAGAGTCTTAAATTTGTTTCAACTTTTTATTACTGTTTATAACAGCACATTTCTAGGAGAAAAGTAATTTCAAAGTAAATAAAAAAGAACTCAAAATACTGTGTTTTGACTTTATCCAAACACTTAGGTCTGAACATTTCTCCTAGACAAACTGCAATATAAATGTGCACATAGAATATCAATATTTGAATGGATTTAAATTTTCTGATGGCAAAGTGCTCTGTCAGAAAACTTTCAGCAATGCTAATTTCAAACTCTAGCTGAATAACAGCAGCATCTGCATTTATATGCCCGGGGAAAAGCTCGTAAGGCATACTAATGACTTCAAGAGAATCACTTTCTTCAGGGCATACTGTGATCGCTCACTGCCAGGGAGGATGGAAGGGGACCAGCAGAAAGTTTCCCTGTGGGGTGATGTGTTTCATTAGCTCACCGTTCTCCTGTCATTCTTCAGGCAGGAGCTACTATTGAAACAAATTACAAGCGTAGACGAAAGCGGTCAAATTGAGCACTTTTGCCAAATTCTGGCCCTGCAGTTGGGACGCCTTCCCAGGCTGGGATCCAAGGGACAGGGATGAAGGGGTGCCCGGCACAGAAATGAGGTGGGGTCTGGCAAGTCAGGGACACCTGAGCCAGGCAGAGCATCCCAGCACAGGGTATCTGTCCCCTTAAATCATTACTCATCCTCTCAAGACAGCCAGAGATGAGACCCAAACCAAAAGCAGCAGCTTCTTTGCAAACTCTATTTAACCAGAGTTAATGAAGCAGTAAAGGGGCACTTACCTCTGCCCAGAGGAGGTAACTTCAGCGCTGCCAGTTGTTCCTAGAGAGATTGCTGGGTGCAAGCCCAGCCCTGTGAATACAACCTTGTCAAGGGGGGGCAATGTGGGCATTCATTCCCTTGAGCTATGCCTTTCCTCGGAGCACTGTAGGCTGGATGTGTTTCATGTGTTATCCTTCCTGCCTCTTCTCTGCTCTGGATCATATAAGTAGCTCTGCTTGTCCCCTAAGGGGCAGATGAGCCCCTTGGCACAAGGTCCTTGTGCCTTGTTCCTACCCTCTCCCAGCAGCCTTGCACTTTTGTCTAAAACTGGGCAGGTTTCAAAACATTCATGATGTTACAATGCCTTTTCAGGGTGGGAAACAGGCTCCTGGAGAAATGTGTCATTTAAGGACAGAGAGTCTTAAATTTGTTTCAACTTTTTATTACTGTTTATAACAGCACATTTCTAGGAGAAAAGTAATTTCAAAGTAAATAAAAAAGAACTCAAAATACTGTGTTTTGACTTTATCCAAACACTTAGGTCTGAACATTTCTCCTAGACAAACTGCAATATAAATGTGCACATAGAATATCAATATTTGAATGGATTTAAATTTTCTGATGGCAAAGTGCTCTGTCAGAAAACTTTCAGCAATGCTAATTTCAAACTCTAGCTGAATAACAGCAGCATCTGCATTTATATGCCCGGGGAAAAGCTCGTAAGGCATACTAATGACTTCAAGAGAATCACTTTCTTCAGGGCATACTGTGATCGCTCACTGCCAGGGAGGATGGAAGGGGACCAGCAGAAAGTTTCCCTGTGGGGTGATGTGTTTCATTAGCTCACCGTTCTCCTGTCATTCTTCAGGCAGGAGCTACTATTGAAACAAATTACAAGCGTAGACGAAAGCGGTCAAATTGAGCACTTTTGCCAAATTCTGGCCCTGCAGTTGGGACGCCTTCCCAGGCTGGGATCCAAGGGACAGGGATGAAGGGGTGCCCGGCACAGAAATGAGGTGGGGTCTGGCAAGTCAGGGACACCTGAGCCAGGCAGAGCATCCCAGCACAGGGTTGGCAGCTCTGCTGCTCAGCTGCCACAGCCTCAAGTCTGTGTTTTGTTCTTGCTTCCTCCTCACAAAATACAGTTTTCTTTGTTCTACCCCTAGATGCATTTGAAAACCTAGCAGCCGGCAGATCACAAGTTTTGATGACGTCAATAGAGGTGAGGATGCTCCTTCCTTCTCTTGTCTCCAGGTCCAAAATAAGACCACTGACTGTGTTATTTGGGGGGTGAAGTTGAAGATGATGTGTGATGTATGTTTCTAGAGGTTTTGCCTCTTACACCAACAGCGGTGATATGCTTAATGGATGGGAGATATTCCCCAGGGATTCCCTGGCCCCAGTCATGGAGCCTCGCTGGGATGAGCACAGTTTTGTGGTGTCCATCCACGTCCAAAGTACAGAGTCTTCCCTCACCCATGCCAGCCTGTCATTCCTCAAAGTGACTTTGAGGAAGTGACCGAAAAAAAAACCCTTGCTCTCATTGCTTACTGCCCCATCTGTTAATTGTGAATTGTGAAACATCTTGGTTTTAAGAAAGAAATTGCAGACAAATGCTTGCTGCTGCTGTTGGTCTTAAAAGCACAGCCTGAAGGATAGCGAGCTGAATGGGGATACATCAAGCTTTTTATCAGCTAGTCTGAAGCAAAAATCCTGCTGTGCTCCATAGTGATATGCCTAAGTGCTACATTTTATCAGTCTGGGGACTGTTATTTGACAACACAGTGTTTAAAAAGATTTTTATAAGAAAACTTCTACGATCTTGCCGGCTCCTGTTTATACTCTGTGGTTAGTTCAGTGGCTCATAGGTCATTTAAACTTTATTACACCAAGAGCTGAGCAGAGTTTCCAAGCAGAGGCACTGAACCTGTTTTCAAGGTAGTCTGTAGGACAACCACATTCCCAGACCCTGCCATCCCTTCCAATTGCCATCACACAGGGACCATCCTTTCCCAACGATTGCTCCTGCTGCAGCTGCTGCAATAATTTATCATGGAAAGCAACATATGGAAAGTGTTTGTGAGTCTGAATTTTAATAAGTGAAAAAGGTAGTTCCAAAACCTCTAAACAATCCTGTGCAGGATAAAAGGACCATAGTCACTGGGTCACTGTCTGGAGGCACCAAGACACATGTCTGAAGGCTTAGTGTAATATCACTATCTAAATGCACCTTTTCTTCTCTTTTTTTCCAGTGGCTGACTCTTGTCATGTACACCTAAAGAGATACCAGAGCTCAACGTGGCTGGTAAGAAATCTCCTTAGTACTATACATACTGAAAAGAAAGGGGTGGGTGCCCTTACAGTGGCCACAGCAAATATGAGTGAGGGCCTTACAGAAACCTCAGCCTGGGGTTGTGGTAGGTTTTGAGAGACAGAGAAAGGTGAGAGCTGCAGTGTGAGCGGGGCTGGTGAGGGGCTGCAAAGGGAATTGAGCTTTTGGCAGTTTTTTCTGAGGAATTGCTGATGGCCTTAGCAGTTGCTGAGACCACCAGTGGCTCAGTTGGCCACTTGGCCCTTGTTCCCACTTGAGGTAACACATTTTCAATAGATCAACTAGCAGAAGTTATCTTTCCTGTCTTCTCCACCACATATAAAGCCAAGTAGAGGGTGGGGATAGGAAGTCACTTTCTTGGTCAGTCTGATTTCACATTTTAACTGAATTATGTAATTTAGTTTACCTTTGAACAACAGTCCCTACTTTGTGTTTCATTTGATGTTTGCTCCCTCCATGTCAGACCTGGAGAGGGGCACTTTTGCCCTGAAGTTTATCTGGACCTTCCAACTTTGCTACTTGGTTCTAGTGAAGAACTCTGCCTTTTCCTATAAAACTTGTCCTGTTCATACATCCATAAACAACCTCAGCCATTGTGCTTCTACTCAGCCCACTGGGTTACAGCTGTTCCCAGTTGCAACGTGTAAAGCATTAATGCTGGTCCCAGTCAGTCAATGCTGGGGTGGAAACCCAATCCTCAGAGAAAAGGTACAGTGGAGAACCAGCAGTCTCCTGCCATCATGTTCCGGTTGACCCCAGGAACTCATGGAGTATCCTTGGGCAAAGCCACACACTTTCCTTATCAACCCAGTTCAAAAATGGAGTGAAAAAACCAAAAACCCTAGGAACTTCATTGAAATCCATGGACTGCATCCAGATGAGACAGGAATTACAATAATAAATAATACATGAACAACATCTCTGGTATCTCACATCTTATTTCTGAAGGCAGGTGACATTCGATGCCAGGTTTGGTGAGAAGTTGAAAGGGGAAATCTATAATTGGTGTGTGAATTACACTTCCCATGGGAGAAAGCATGGTAGATTCAGACCCAAGGCAGGGACTGCTCTCTGTTTTTCACCCTTGGCTCCAGGACAGTGTTCATGTCCAGCTGCTCCTCTGTCTTGGCTGCTCATTGCATTCCGTGTGTCCATCTGTGGCAGAAGCTGGGCTTCACCACTCAACGCTGTGATACCTTCACCTCTCTGAGCTCTGTTTGCACATGGGTTTTCTTTGTTGGAAAGTCTGCTTTTTGCATTCAGAGGGCTTTGGACACTGCACCCTCCCTTTGTCACAGCAAAGGTGTATTTTGATGTGTAGCAAGAGGTTATTCACAAAGGTAGCACCTGCCCCTTGCACTGCAGAGTAAATATGAGACTAGAAGGACCTCATTTTGAGGGATGGAGTTGCTCAAATTATTGTTTGCAAACGATATTCATAGTCTATTTAGTATTCTTTTTTCCTTCCATGAATCATTCATGAACTGATCATAACTTCTGCAAATATATCATTAATCATAATTTTCACTTACCGGTTTTGAATGAAATTCTGCCTGTGGGGTGTTCATAAGCAGCTCATGTGAGCAGTTCAGCAGCCACTCGTGGCCAGAGACTGGGCAGTCTCAGCACGGGCCCCTCAGAGGACTGAAACTCTTTAAGACTGGAGCTTAACAAACCATGAGCAATGTGAGAAAACACACTTGGTGTCTGTTGGAAAAAAAATCGGTTGAAAAAGTTATATTCTCATCAGTGATTTCTAAATCACTAAATTCTAAAGACTGACATCCAGCTGTTTGTGTTTTGAGTGGGTCTCACTAAAACCTCTGTTTTAGGTGGCTTTCCTGCTCACCAGCAGGACACAGCCCAAGGCCATCACATTCAAGATCCATCCATGGGGCTCTTGAAAACCCGAACACTGTGAAGGAGCAAAGCCAGGTTTCTTATGGACATTTGCTTCCGCTTGATGGTCCTCATGTGTCTGGATGGAGAGTCCTTTTCAGGCAAACTGGAATTGGTTGGGAGAGAGAAGAGGAGATAACGAGACACATTCATGGGCAAGCTGGTAGTACTTAATGGTTGGGGCAAGCTGGAAGTGCCAACTATGGTCTCCTCTCATCCTCCTGTACATTCTGTGGCTGATTCTCCTGGTCAACACACAGAAGTCAAGACAGCTCCGTTAACTTCACTGCAAGTAAGAACAGAATCAGGCCTTTTGTGTGGAAGGGAGTGTCTATCGCTCAGACAACAGGAACAATTAAGACACAATTTTTTTATTTGAATTATTTCTTAACTTGCTTGTGTGCCATTTCTAAATGCCAGAAAAAGGTTAAAGAAATTAATCATAATTCATAAATAACACCAGGAGCTTTGTGATTTTTTTTTTTACTTTTATTAATAAAAAAAAAATTAAAAGGAAAGTTTTACGCATATTTGAATTTGTCAGCTGTAGGGATTCCTCTTCATTGCTATTGAAAAAAAAAGAAAAAAGAGGCATATTAGAGTCATAGAACAGATTGTTCAGTGTTTTTTTCTGATTCCCAGCATCTATATCAGGACCGTCTGGGAAGAGACAAATTTATCTGAACTGCATTCTCATTCTCTGTCCTGATGTCTTTAAAAATATAGGGCTTCTTCAGACATAATTTAGTCTCAAAAGTTTAACTTAAATCTGCTAAATAACTGTAACCTTTCTGTAGCCCCCACACAAACACCGCTTTCACACTTTTTTTATCATGGTGATAAAAGCAGAGTTAGTGATCTATTCTACTCAACTGTTGAAAAAAAAAATAAACTCTGAAGACTCCATTTGTGAAAATGCCAAGAAGAAGGATGCGAATGTCGACGGATGGAGGCAATGCAGGGTTGCCATGGCAATGTGATTCACACCGTGCCTCACCCAGACCTTCCCCACGAGTTTCCATTGAGACATCCACATGCTTGCAACAGATTTACTCGTTTGGCAGCGAGATGCTACACACTGGAGCAACAACTACGTCACAAAGCAAAGAAGGGACCCATGTCTCTGTTATCATGAGGTCAGTGTCTTCTTCTGCACCTCGGAGAGCATTACTCATGTTCATAGGTCTTATGCAAGCAGGGCCACTGAACCCACCCTTTCACTGAAAAAGTGTGGAAAGGGAAATCGGTAAAATTAGATTACTCCAATATGTTTCAGTCATTTTCAAACAAACCAATTCCTTCTCCAAAGTGTGACTTACACATCCCACCTGAAATCATTAATCATTAATTAAGCTCTCCGAAAAGAAAACACAAAGAAAGAGGATAAATAAAAAAGGTGGCCATGGAAGAACAAGTATGTTTGTTTAGTTTAGTCTGCAAATTCAAAACGGGTAAGTAGAAATCTGGAAGTACTTTTGTATGATGTCCACCACGCAGTTCAGGGATGCTCAAGCTGGCTCAGACCTGCTGGGAGCAAGCTGTTTGTAGCTACACAGAAGTCATCTGTGGTAAAATTGTGACATTCAGTTCAGGTCAACAGTTTAAATACATTCTTGTTGTGTGAAAGCCCCATCTATAAAAATACCAGGCTGTTAGGATCAGTGAGCTAAGATCAGTCTCGAAAATCTTAATTTGCAGACAATGTATTACTTTTCCTTTTGTTATAATGCGTAATTGCCTTTCTGCAGAAGGCAATTCTGCTTGTTGTGCGACAAAGCTCCTTGTCTCTAATAACTTAGTCTGGACAGAGACAAAGATGTTTCTTCTACGCTAAAAAGCTAGCAGCAGACACCATACATCCCAGGTGGGAAACATCACCCATATATAAGGTTGTCTTCCCCACAGGCAGATGTCACCCACAGGGGTGATGGTTCTTCTCACACTAGGCGTGCAGAGCCCGTGCAGCTGGTTGCCCTTGGAGCCCACCTCCTCCACACCAACCAACCCTTCACTCTGGTGTGTGTGGTCTCCGGGCATCAGCCATCTCGGGGACGAACCTATGGCCCCTTTGGTTTTGAGGGCTGGCCCTCTCCTGCTGATCCCACGCTGGGGCAGAAAGTAATAACTCACTGCTGTCAAGCTGAGCGTGGCTGCCTGTCTGTAACGTTGGAAGAATTGGTATTCCACTTGATTTATACTTCCAACCAAGCTAATTAAGCAACAATTCAGGAGGAATCCATCATTGTGACAGACTTGTTGATTAACCATCCCACAAGCAAAGTCAAGGGTGTTTGATAGCCTGCAAAAAAAAAAAAAAAAAAAATCAGGTCAATAGAGAGAAAAACAATGATTTGGCCATAACACAGCAGTGACTAATATTTCCACAAGCAACAAGAAGCTTAATACATTTCAGAAACACGGGGGCCAACATTAAAAACAAAGGCAGCTCTGATGAGTGGGGTGTTAGATAAAGAGGACAAACTTCTACATGTCATTTTTGTGTGATTAAGTTGTGCACGCCAGCTTTATGGGGATGGTACCCCTATTAAAATCTGTGCACCTTCATCTGTGCTTGCCAGTTCTGAAATGTTAGTGCAATCCCCATGAGGTTTCTGGCATTTGTGGAAGCTCTGAGATTTGTGCAATTATGATAATATCATCTCTAATTTTTTTGATGAAAATCAGTTTCTTGTCCTCAGGGACGCAAGTCTGAAAAGCCCTAAAGAGGATCTGCTATTAGGAATTGAAGAGAAGGACCTCAAACAAATGCTTTATTTTTAAATCTTCGTGATGCTTAAACCCTCAAGAGGGTTAGAAGCAGGCAATGCAAAGAAGCAGGAGCTGAATCAGATGAGATTAGTGATGCCAAACTCCCTGGAATTGAAGATGGGATAAAGCTGATGAAATTAGGTAGGATCTGAGACAACCATTAGCATTAGGAGGACTGTGGTGCAAAAGTGGTGATGGCTGACCCTGCAAGCATAATCTCTGGATGTAGACCTTGAAGCCCTGCTATTAACCCTTCTCCTGAGACCCAGAGGTCCCGTGTCTGGTGTCTGTCTGGCAGAGGCTGTGTCCAAGTCATCTCAGGATGGACAGAGGAGGAAGCTCTTATGTGCTTTGCCTGCAGGGCCTGGTCTTGTAGATGTTCCCAGAGCATCCGTCCTGGATTAAGGCTTTCAGAGAAGCTTTACAGGCTGTGGTTTTGGTGCCCATGCCCCAGTGAGCTCATCTGTGGTATGGGAGAGTGTCCATGGCCAGTTTTGGAGTAACTGGACCTCCCTCTCCACCTTTGGCTGTGCCTCAGGCCTGTCACAGAGAAACTTCTGCAACTTATGCAGCACAGAGAAACTTCTGCAATTTATGCAGAGCAACTAAAACATTTTTCAAGGAAAAAAAAAAATATTTTAAAACATCACACATGACCTCATGCATGGTTGAAGGGGGAAAGGCTGGGTTTGAGCAACCCACTGGCCTGTGCGCTTTGTGACATGCACTAATGATTTTTTAATATTGTTTTTCTTAGTGCAATGCATCTCTTGAAGCAGGCACGACCAAGCGTGCCACACTACAGCAAACGGTGTGCAGAGTCACAGGCATCTCTCAGGCAAGGGTGCACCAGTAAGGGACTGGTATTCCTGCCTGCCTGCATTCAGGGATGCCTGCAAACCTGGGAATGCTCGGCTCTTGCCTTCAGGAAGATGGTGACTCTTTCACCAAAAAGGTACCTGTCCTGCTCCCAGTCCCCCAAACTCAAAGAGGTGGACAGAAAGCCTGTGAAGAGTGACCCTGCCCTGTGTTTAGGCAGCTCAGCAGGAGCACAGGCATATGTTGGGACCATTTTACTTATGGGGGGATGCCAGCTTAATATGATATTAATTTAGTATTACCATGCTTAGCATTAACACTTGTCTTAAGGATCCCTTTGCTGCAGGGCTGGAGCTGAAACGTGTTGCTTTTACCTAGAAATACATGAAATATCTCCTTCTGCAAACCCTGGCTGTGCTCCTCGCCCCAGGTTCCATCTCGTGATACCTGCACCTTTTCAGTGCCGGGCCGTGGGATGCCCAGGCAGATCAAGGGCTCACCAGCCTTTCCAGAGCAGGTTTCCCAATGCCCTCTGCCAAGCTGGTTGGTGTACCCTGGATGTCTGCCACCAGCCCTGCCACCAGCCCTGCCACCAGCCCTGTCTGGGTCTGGTGTCCCCAGCCCATGGTGACACTAGGGTCCGTTTCTGCTGCATGGCAGTGACATCTAGAGGCTCCCTGGCCTGAGCTCCAGCCTCTCGCTGCTCACATGTGGCTGGCAGCACTCTGCCAGGCAGAAACCTGCTCCTCACAAAGCCCCAGTGAAGCCCATTCACACCCTAAGGATGAAGTACTGCAAGACTTAAATCCAAGCTCCTTCCCTCAGCCACCACGGGAAGGATCTTCATTGTAGCACCCTGAGGAAATTCAATATTCTTTCTGGGATCCCGAAGGTTTGAGGGAGTTAGGGGAGGACTTTGTAGAGTAGGGTAGATGGTTGGACTCGATGATCCCAAGGGTCTCTTCCAACCTAGACGATTCCATGATTCTATGATTCTATGACTTAAATCCAAGCTCCTTTCCTCAGCCGCCACGGGAAGGATGTTCGTTGTAGCACCCTGAGGAAATTTGATATTATTTCTGGGATCCCGAAGGTTTGAGGGAATCAATCCCTGTCCCTTCCCCTGGGAGAGAGACAAACTGGTCCACGAGAGGCTGTTGCTGATTAAACAACATGTACAGCTTTCCACTGGAAGAAATACCATTTCCTTGCTTTATATACCATACGTTAGGTTTGATGCCATCCAGCATCAAATGCAAAGCTGCCGCAGAAACACCTCCATAAGGGGGTAAATACATCATCTCTACAGGCTGAATTGTTCAACCAGTTGAGGAATGCATCTCCTGAAGCATTCCACGAGTTTCAGCTGAAATGCCATGGAGAGAGATAGGGAATTTTATTGCCCATATGAGGGGTATTCAGTAGAATATATGTGATATGTGCTAGGATGATATCATATAGGCATTGTGAGTCAGTAGAGTAGATTGCAAATGATCTTCTAGCCTGAAATCAGGGAAGGAGCAGCCCAGAGAAGTAGGGCTCTCCCACAATACAAAACTTGGGGGAAGATTGTGATGAAAAGCGAGAGGAATGTCTCTCCCATCCCGTGAGCTACCTCACGCTTGGAAACGCTCAAGAGAAAGGTTAGGCCAGGCTTTCCCCCAGATCAAAAACCTCTGGGTGATGATATGGGAAACCTCCAGTGTGTACACACACACCAAAATCATTAAAGCATCCTAAACTGCTTGCAAGTGCCAGATTTTCCTTTTCCAGAAGCCTTCTTTTTCTCTCAGACACTAGCATGAAAGCTTCCCTTTTCATTATTATATCAGATGAAATACAAGGGGTATTTTTTTTCCCTTCACTGGAAAAAATAAATGAACAATTTCAAGGTTCTAGGGCAAAAAGCAATCAGCAACAGCCAGTGCAATGTTGCACTTCTGTGCTCCTCAGAAAACAAAGTTAGAAGATGAATTGGACACCTGACCCGAAGGCCACAGATGTCACTTTTCCCTTCACTGGAAAAAATAAATGAACAGTTTCAAGGTTCTAGGGCAAAAAGTAATCAGTAACAGCCTGTGCTCCTCAGAAAACAAAGAAGATGAATTAGACACCTGACCCGAAGGCACAGATGTCAATGATTTCCACTGCAGCCCCTTGGCCAAAGCCTTCCACTCCAGGCTGAAGATGTTAGGAAGCCAGAGGAAGAGCAACACGCCATGGTGGACTTGAATGTGCTCTTCTGGGCTTTGCCAGCCAGGCACAGCCTCAGGAAATCCACCCTGAGATCCTCGTCTGTGGGAAACACTCAGCCTTATTGAGAACAGCTGAGGTCAACAGCTGTGGTCAGGCTTCCCATCAGACCTTTCATTGCAGCTTCCTCTCTGCAGCAGGTGTGGCACAAATACTGAGTCCCAGCAAGTGGTGGTGAAGGAAGGTCTTGGAAGTTAAATGAAGCACCACGAGGCTCCAGGAAAAGGTCAGACAAAATTTCTTACTCAGCATTATAGCTTCTGTACCAGCTACTATTTGATTTATCATTAAAGGCAGCACAGGGGAATTTTGGGCTTTTAAAGGGTCTTTGTAAAACTCAACATTTCAAACAGCTCACTTAGGTGTTGACTCTGGGCTGGGGAGGGGTTGTCATCATTTCTCCTTCCCAGAAGGAGGCATCAGAAACTCTCCCTGAACTTTGATGAGGCAGGAGGACACCCCGTGGTGTGGCTGAAACAAAGGAAGCGGACCCAAGGAGGATGAAATTGGGCACGTATGGGCTAGGATTGGGCCTGCATACAAAGAAGCAAAGGCAGCAATTTCTGTGCCACCACAGGAGGTTGCCTGGTGCAAGCACCAACCCCTCCAGCACACATGCGAGCCAAAGGTGGCAACAGAGATTCTCCAGGGAGGTTTCTGTGGCTTCCTGCCCTGAAAACAAATCATGGGGACTTGTGAATGTCTGTGTTGTGCTTCACACCAGGCATTGAAGCAGGTTTCTCAGAGAAGGTGTGGCAGCCCCATCCCTGAAGGTGTTCAAGGCCAGGCTGGATGGGGCTTGGAGCAACCTGGTCTGGTGGGAGGTGTCCCTGCCCAGGGCAGGGGGGTTGGAACTGGATGATCTTTAAGGTCCCTTCCAACTCTAACCATTCTATGATTCTAGGAGTTATTTCCTTCTCTACTCTCACAGTGAGTGAGCAAGATAACCAAAGGGGGAGGGATTTCCAAAACTCTATTTTACTTTTCACTGGGCAATGGGAGAGCCTTTAGAAAGCCCTGAGGCTGAAGTGTAACCGGTGGCAGAAAGCCAGCGGTAGAAATTTTTAAGTCAGGAACAGATTGTTTCTCTTTTTTGACAAGGCATGGTCTGATGAGATGAATACTTCATTAATCCAGGGATGTGCCCTGTCATGTATAATACAGGAGTTCAGACAGATGGAGCACAATGTTCTCCTCTGGCATGCGGACCTGAAGCAGTGAGGTCTGGATAGGGATGATTATAGGTACCTGGATTATGGTGGGATCCATCCTGGGGCAGTTCAGAAGGACATACCAGCAGAAGAATTGATCTGGGGACATGTAGGGTGGGAGAAGTCATCAGCTCTTATCAAGTCGTTTGAGTGCTGCTCAGTGTCAGTGTTTTATGAATCCAAATAAATGTTTACCAACTACTTTTGCAGATCCTCCTGCACCCTTTCTTTGGAGAAACAGGCAAGCTTGAAACTGTCTTCCTGCAAAAACAATGAAGATATGCAAAATTTTGGCAAGTTGAAGTTTCCTGGGCCAAAATACTCGAACAAACTTGATTATTCCCCTGTGAAATGGACAGATTGGAAAAGAACTTCTGAGGAATAACTCAGTCGTAAGCCTGTTGATACGGAGGCACTTCCCCAAGACTCACCTCATCTGAATTTGTCATTTAAGGTATGTATTTTAACTACTTTATTATTAGGGAACAGCATTTATCTCATTTACAGTGTATTCATTCCTTTTAAAACCCTGCTTCTCTGCTTCTCACCACTGCGAAATTTAAGCATAAAACCTAATTTGAGAAGATGATTGAATTTTGAATTAAGGGGTTGTTTGTCCATCATCTCCAAACAGGAGCAGTCTGTGGGGCAGAGGAGCATCCCGCAGTTTCAGACGTGAGCTGCAGATGGCAGGATTGAACTGCGGACTCGTTTCAACACCAGAACTCATTTGCTCTCCCAGCCAGCAAAGCAGCTACTTTCAAGCAAGAGACCAAGGTACGTGCGGCATCTTGTAGGTGAGACCCATGACACAAGGCCAGCAGACAGCTTGCTTTGGAGATGTTACCCTCCTCTTGTGAAATGGAGTCTTTTTCTCTGCAAACACAATGGCTCACGGCTGGTGGTGGTGGTGCCAGGGCTGCTCTGAGGGTGCTGCACAGAAAAATGTACAGAGAAAAGTTTCAGGGAAGCTCCTGGGTTGAGGAATCATTAAATAGATTGGGATATCTTAGTGTGAAAAAGTGATGTCTACGCTGACGGTTGAGAGCAGGTGCATAGGAAAGAGTGTTCATTGTTTCTGTAATACCGGGATCAGGAGCAGCAAATAAATCATTTGCTGGTGTGTTCAAACAGGCAGAAGGAGGTATTGCTTTACACAGCCTGGAAATAGCAGGGCTTGTCTCTGCTGACACCGTGGCTGCCAAACCCTTGCGGCACTTTGAAAAGCAATTGGACAACTTCATGCTCAAAAACATCTCCTCCGGTTCATAAGGAACCTGGTCCCTGTGGTTGTACCTTCCTGAGGAGGATGAGAAGGGCTAGGAGGTAGGAGGCTGTGCTAATGGCCCTCTCAGCTGGTCTGATCCAGCACCTTCTGTGCTCTTGGTCCAGGCATCCAGGTCAGAGGGTGCTGTGAGATGTGCAGCTTTCACTTCCAAAAGACCTTTTTCAGGAGGAAACTTGAGCCTTTGACCCAGCTACATTGCACAAGCTCTGACGCTAGAAGATCCAAACACTTTTTTTTTTTAAAAAAAAAAGATCTCTTAACCTTTAAGCGTGTTTTGAAGGTGAGAAGGTGGGACTGATTCCTAACCCTGGGTGTCCAAATGTGTGGGATGGCAGGGTTGCACCATCTCCTTGAGCTTCTCCATTTGCACTCAAGTCAGTGGTGAATGGCGGGGTGAGTCCCTGGGGTTGGGACTGCCATGCTTTAGAGCATCACGGTTTGGTAGGCAGACTTTGGGCCCGTTTCTCACCTACAACTTGTCCATAGGCCAGGCCCTTGCTATTTTTGGTTGCTGCCTCTCTTTCACCATCTGTGGGGGGGCAGGCTGCTCTGCTCTCTGCTGTGAACGACACGTTTTTGGTGGGAATGTGATGGGAACACACATTTTTGTGTGTCTGTGTCCCCTGCAGCTGGGGAGCACAGAACAAGGCTGGAGAGAGCAAGCCCTGGGTTCAGCCTGGCTTTCCTACCAAGAGGTCTGATGGAGCTGGAGCTGTCTGATGACAAGGGGGAGCAGGAGCAGGAGGGAAAGTGGGATCAGGCCAGCCTGGTGACCTGCACCATCCCATAGGTGACTCTTGTAGTTATGACATCCGAGTTAGAGTCTTTCTCAAATCTTGTTTTCCCTGTGAGGAGAAACAACTCTTTTCCCATTTTAATTAGGCTTAATTGGCAATATGGGAGCAGCCCTAATTCATAGCCATTTCCTGGCAGCACTAGATTTTTGCATTGCTTAAATAGCAGCCAGTGCTCTGCTCTAAGTGTGGTGGGGGTGGTGGCAGCAGGAGACATTAAAGCCAACAGAGAAGGAATGGTGGGATCTCAGTACCGTGCTCTGGCTGGGAATACTGGTCTTAACAACTGGATGATGCAAAATGCTGATCAGCAATCACTCAGGTCTATTGGCTTCTTGACATCAACCAAACAAGCTGTTAAACGGGTTTTGTGGACTTGTAAACTGGAAGAGGGGAGATTTAGACTAGATATTGGGAAGAAGTTCTTTCCTGTGAGGGTGGTGAGACACTGGAACAGGTTGCCCAGAGAAGCTGTGGCTGCCCCATCCCTGGAGGGGTTCAAGGCCAGGCTGGATGGGGCTTGGAGCAACCGGGTCTGGTGGGAGGTGTCCCTGCCCAGGGCAGGGGGGTTGGAGCTGATGATCTTTAAGGTCCCTTCCAACTTGAACCATTCTATGATTCTATATTTGGGCTTTTCAGCTTGCTGGCCAATCTGGTTTGACAAGGGGCCTCAGCGTTCCTGGCTGCAGACAAATTCCCAGTTGTTCCGAGGTTACCAGGTCTGATGTTCCTTAACAGTGGCCAGGTACAAATATGAGTAAAGAATTGTTTAAAGTTTCAGATAAAACACACGCAGAGGTGACACCTGATCCCCATGTGTCCACACAACCATTCTTCTAGCAGCAGGGCACGTCTCTGCGCCAAAAATACCTGGAAAAGGTTTTTGCTCTTTACAATGGCATTTGGTGATGGGGATCCCTCTGCCCAGAGGTGAAGTGGGTAGCCACTAACTGGAAATTTACTGAAATGCATTAACCTGAGCAAAGGATGGGCCTGAAGATCTGTGAGATGGAAAGGTAGGTCCAGCCTCTGAATCCTTTATTGGTGTATCTGATAAATGCAGTAAAAATGCTGTGATGTCCAGTGGCCAGAGTGCCATTCCAAGGGAAATGGAGCAAGTGCTAATGTGAGATCATTTTGAGCCTTATTTTTGTTTTTTTGTCTGGCCGGTGAAAGAGACTATTCATGGGAAAACAACTATTGTTTGCTCGTTAATTACCATGGGAAAATTAATAGCCGTATCTGTTTCTGATCACTTGTGCTTGGTAAAGTTCTGCTGGCAGAACAAGCCGTCCATCATTTTGTGTAGCTGAAGGAAGAAAGGTCGCCTGGTTCCTCGCCAGCCAGAGAGCAGAGCAGGTCTGATCTTCACGCCTGCCTCGCTGCTGTGGGCAGGGATGGGGGAGAAAGGACCCACCTGAAGTGGGTCCCATCTTGGGAAGGGGTCAGCCCTGACCCAGTGCAAACTCTCTGACCAATGCAGTCAATGGTAGGATTTTTCCTTCAGTGGCATGTGCTGGCCCGTCTCTAGATCCTTGGTAATCTCCACGTCCAGTGCCTGATTTCTGTTTATCCTAAATTTGCTCAAATCCTGGGTGTAATCCTCTGTTGGGGAGGGGGAGCGTAATTCCATTTATTGAACGACTTTGCCATAATTGCATTTGCCTCGGCTAGTGCTCTAATCTGTCTTCCCCCCCAAATCTTGCACAGTCCCACCAGAATCCATTTAGTTCTCAGCAGCAGCTGCCTCCAGAGCTTGCTCAGCTGAGCCCTGCCTCCTTCTGCCCCTGATTCCCATCCCAAGAAATTATGGAATATGTGGTGAGAAGGACCAGGGAAGTGATCGCCCCCCCATTCTTGGCACTGGTGAAGCCCCACATGGAGTGCTGTGTCCAGTTTTGGGCTCCTCACTATAAAAAAAAAAAGAAAAAAAGACAGAATTGAGGTGCTGGAGCGTGTCCTGAGAAGGGCAATGAAGGTGGTGAGGCGTGTGGAGAACCAGTCTTGTGAGGAGCAGCTGAGGGAGCTGGGGTTGTTCAGCCTGGAGAAAAGGAGGCTGAGGGGAGACCTTCTCACTCTCTACAACTCCCTGAAAGGAGGGTGTAGAAAGGTGGGGGTTGGTCTCTTCTCCTAAGGAACAAGTGATAGGACAAGAGGAAACAACCTCAAGATGCACCAGGGGAGGTTTAGATTGGATATTAGGAAAAACTTTCTATGCTGAAAAGGTTATTAAGCATTGGAACAGGCTGCCCAGGGAAGTGGTGGAGTCACCTCCCTGAAGGTATTTAAAAGATGGGTAGATGAAGTGCTTAGAGATATGGTTTAGTGATGGTTTTTCTTGGTGTTATGTTGATGGTTGGAACTAGATGATCTGAAAGGTCCCTTCCAACCCAGGCAATTCTATGATTCCATGATTCTACGTGGAGCTGCTGTGTGTGCCAGAGGTGTCTCTTCTGCTTCAAACGAGGCTGAGCGTAGGCCTTTCTCTCCTGTTTGTTCATATCTACCTCCCAGGGTAAGGTTAATCAACAGGGTAAGAGGTAAAGCAAGGCCATGGTTGTGACCTGGGCTGTCCTGTCCTGCTCCGTCACAGCAGAGCAACTGATACATCAGCAGAACCTACCTGCAGGAACTTGATGCACCTCCAGGCAAGGCTATTTTGCTTCATCACTGTCCTCAGGGAGGTCTCTCATAGCCACCAGGTCCAACTGTGGCTTGGGAATCTCTGTCCCTTGCCCTGCCTGCATGTCCCACAGCCTTCTGCCTCTGCCCCATATGCGGGGTCCAGGGATGCTCTGCTGCAGGAGCCAGGTGGGAGCTCCAGGCTGGTGGGCATCCTGTTCCCAGGCAGGGAAGCAAGCCCAGAAAAGCTCCTCAGGGTTTCTTGTTTCCCAGGAGGTCTCTCATCTCCTCCTGGAGCAACCCCAAAGATATTCTGCACAAGAGCACATGGACCTTGACCATGCCGTTTCCAGGGAATTACGATGATGTTGAGTGAAGACCCCCCACTCTGTGCCTCCCACAGTGACTGTTGCTTCCACCTCAAAGGGATCTTCTGCCCCTGCTCCTCCTTGCTATCTACAGCCCCATCAGTCCAAGAGCAAACACACCAGAAAGCCTGATAAGAGCTTGCTTGCAAAACAATACCCTGTGGGGATGGGGCTTTGGCTAGGTGCTGGTATATCATGTTTGGCTTCACAGCTGTTTCTTGTTTTCTTTTTAGAAAAGAAAAAAAAAGAGAAAAGCCAGAAGGACAAGATGACAGGGGAGGAAGGGATACATCAGCTGAAATTTGGATAGGATCATTTTGATAAGCAGCCTGCCCACGGCAAAGAATTGGATCACAAACTTCGTTTAGGGGGAAAAAAAATCACCGCAGAAGAAAGGACCCAGGTATGAATGTTTCCTCTTATGAATTTGAAGTACTTCCTTAAATTGCTTTTTTAACTGCATTAGAAAACAAAGCCAGAATCAAAGCAGAGTAAGCCGGGTGATGCTGTAAGGTTTTCAGAGTTTCTCTAAATGGAGAATTTGGACATTTTCATATTCTAATCCGGGAACAGAATGTGCAATTATCCTGGTAACAGAGCAAAGCGTGGAGAGAGGCTGAAGGCTTGGAGGGCCAGGTGGGTGCTGGTGGAAAGAGCCCTGCTTTGTGGGGAACGCTGGCAGAAGGAAGCAGCTCACCTGCACAGCCAGGCTCTCCCTCATCACCTGAGCCCTTCCAGCTTAAAATTCCTTCTGGCTTAAAAGTAGGGAGGCAAAAAGGATGGATAAGGTTCTCATTAAGTGTGGGCTCAGCTGCCATGAGATGTATCACATGGCTTCATACCTGCAACCTGCTACAGCTGCGTGGTAGCCCTTTTTCAGCAAAGGGAGCTGAATTACACACCCAGCCTCCTCCTTCCCCTCTCATAATTTGTTAACGCAATCTAAATAGCACATAATATTTTAAGCAGCTTTCCCCCCATGAAGAGGCTCTGACAACCTTTGCCCTGAAACGTGCTGGAGTGTTTTTGAGCAGCATAATGAAACCTCTCTGAAGAATGAGGCGGTAGAAAAGCCGATATTACAAATGCCCTGAGAGTCAGTTAGCTTAACTTCTTTATTGATCTTCCCTGAAAACGAAGCACCGTAGCAGAGAGGTTAAGGCAAACAGATCATAAACAGGAGAGACTTCTAACACGTGAAAACTGAGATTACAGTTTTAGGGAAGACGTGTCAATAGAAGTGATGAGGAGAAGGCTGGAGCCCCTCGGCTGTGAGGACAGGCTGAGAGAGTTGGGGTTGTTCAGCCTGGAGAAGAGAAGCCTCCAGAGAGACCTTAGAGCCCCTTCCAGTACCTAAAGGGGCTACAGGAGAGATGGGGAGGGACTCTTGATCAGGGAGGGGAGCCACAGGATGAGGGGTAATAGCTTTAAACTGAAAGAGGTGAGATTTAAATGAGGTCTCAGGAAGAAATTCTTTCCTGTGAGGGTGGTGAGACACTGGAACAGGTTGCCCAGAGAAGCTGTGGCTGCCCCATCCCTGGAGGGGTTCAAGGCCAGGCTGGATGGGGCTTGGAGCAACCTGGTCTGGTGGGAGGTGTCCCTGCCCAGGGCAGCGGGTTGGAACTCCATGATCTTTAAGATCCCTTCCAACCCAAACCATTCTATGATTCTAAGTGCAGGGTTTCCCGGGGGGTGAGCTGACAAGCATTAGTTACCACAGTATAAAACACACCCTTTTTGGCATCAGCGCTGGAGGATGTCAAGGTCCTGCTTGTCTCTGAAGGAGGAGGCACGTCAGGCAGCAATTAAAGCGGGGCGGTCAGTGCCAGACTTCAGCTCTGGGAAGCTCTCAGGAATGTTGGTCCTTTGTCAAGGCAGAGCGGTGTCACGGATGGAGCGATGCACTTCACTGGTAGGAAAAAAAAAAAAAAAAAAAAAAAGCAATGCATTTATTGATATAAACCAGGGATTTTACAAAGTTTGATGGTAAATGCAACAGCGTTTTAACAAGAGTCGACGGCGAGGCGCACTTGGCTACTTTCTCCACAGAAGACAGGGTCAGACAGAGCTGTCAGGGAGACCCTCCTGTTGGAGTCAGAAAGGACCCCCTTTGCTTTCTAAACTCCTCCTCAGAGAGGAGTCTGGGTGCAGCTGGATCCAGTCCAAGTCCCAGACTCGGTCAGTGGTTTACGTCTAAAAGATTATTTATGCGCAATCACTCCTTTATATCACTTAGCTAAGATTTCAAAGTTTAGCATGCTGTTAGTCACTTCCCGAGGATCTGTTGGGGCAAAGAATCTCTAAATCTCAAGAAGGAAACCTTGAGCACCGTCCCAACTCAAGGGGAGATCCTGGGCTGTTCACTGTTTATGGAGGTAGGATGATTGGCCTTTAGTTATATTTCCATATTGACCCCAGCACCAGGATTCCTTTTACATTTACTTTGGTCTATGCTGAACTGGGACTATCTAGTTGCCTATCTGGCATCTGTTTCCAAATCAAAACCTTGAAGTTCTTAAGAAAAGTGCCTGCCTGGCCCTGCCAAGACACTGAACCATACCAGTCCTGGGTGACACGTGCCACCGCCAGGGGAAGGAGCCAAGCAGAAGCCCCAGCCCCTACGCTTTGCTGCTGCTGCTCGTCCTCTATCACTGGATCCCCAAGGCTTTGCCCAGGGAAGTGGTGGCATCTCAAGAATCTCATCTCAGAAGTGGTGGCATCTCATGGTCCTCAAGAATATGGTTTAGTGATTTTTTTTATTGCTTATTTCTTATTTATTTTTTGTCAGAGTTAGGTTGATGGTTGGACTAGGTGACCTTTGAGGTCCCTTCCAACCTAGACGATTCTATGATCTCTTTGCTCCAGAGAAGCTAGAAGAAGTAACGGGAAACACTTGTTTTGGATCAAATTGGTAATGACCCAGACCTGCCCCTACCATCAAACCCAGCCTTTCATTATGTATATTGTCCTCTTCTGGCCTCCAGCCCAGACAGGAACAGCATTTCTTAAACATCACGAACACCTGCAATGAGGTTCCTAACTCACGGCCAGGTGAAGCCATTTTGTGGATGATTTGGATAAGGATGCAGGATTTTTGGCCACTTACCTGACTCCCCTCGGTGAACCTGGGAAAACCGGTTGATGGCCCATCTCTGGAAGCAAGCTGGCCTCCCCTCTCTGGTGCAGAAGATCATGGGGACCCTGTTCTCCCACCGCTTTTGTGTTGCCCCTTTCTAAACACAGGAAGCAACCAGCAGGATTCGTAAGCTGTCGGCACTACTTGTTTGGTTTCAAGCACTGCTTAAAGGCTTTTTTTTTTTTTTTTTTTACCTTTATTTCCCTCATGGAGGCTTTACCTTTTCTCTTAACGACGATCTCCACTCCCAACAGCCATGATCTGAGTTAACAGTGGCAGGAAAAGACGCTGCAGCTCATCTTGAATTGCACAGCTGTGGCTCTGCATTTTTGAAGGTTTAGTACCTAGGGAATGAGAAATGTCAATATTACCATATAGTTTTCCTTGGGTAATATCAAAATCCTCCGGCTGTCAGGTTAATTTAAAGCCAAAAAAGAAATCGAGTTTAATCACAATTTTGTGATCTTTTTTTGCCTCTCACAGGAAAAGGTCCCCTGACTGTGCCCAAAAGACGTTAGATGTTTCAAGGACATTGATTTGTTAGAGAAAAACTTGCATTCCTTGATCTGAACATCTCCCTGTGCAAGGGAGGAGGGGGGGGTCAGAGACCCAGGAGCCAGGATCTGCTTGAAGTATGCCAATTTTAAGTTTCTAGTTTAGATCAATTCCCACTCCAGAGCCATCTTTTCACTCCGGTGTGAGGCAAATGGGAAACTTCTCTGGCTTTCGGGCAGCTAATGAACATCCATGCACCTTCCAAAATCACCTCCCAGCCACCCCAGCTCCCGTGGGGGGTGAGCCAGGGTAGAGCAGCCCCTGCCTTGGGGTCCTGGGGTCCCTCCAGTGGCACCATCACCCACCATTCCCACCATGGCTTCTCCTTTGCGACTGGTCCAGAGCCCTTGGGAACTAGCCTCAGGAAAGGGCTTTCCATTCCCTGTTCCTGCTCGGTATTATCATAGAATCATAGAATTGCCCAGGCCGGAAGGGACCTCCAAAGGTCATCTAGTCCGACCTCCCCACAGTCAGCAGGGACACCCCCAACTAGACCAGGTTGCCCAGGGCCTCGTTGAGCCTCTCCTTGAATATCTCCAGGGATGGGGCCTCAACCACCTCCCTGGACAACCTGTTCCAGTGCTCCACTACCCTCACAGTGAAGAACCCTCTCCTAATCTCCAATCTAAATCTGTTCCCCTCCAGCTTAAAGCCATTTCCCCTCGTCCTGTCACTACAGGCCTTTCTAAACAGGTTCTCCCCAGCCTTACTGTAGGCTCCCTTCAGGTACTGGAAGGCTGCTATTAGGTCTCCCTGGTATTCTGAAAGGTGGGGAGGTTGGAGGAACAAGGGGGTATGAAACAGGGAAGCAGGGGAAGATGCTTGCTGGGGAGGGAGCAGCCAGAGGGAATTTAGAGGTCCAAAGGTTTAGATTTAGAGGTCTGAAGACCCCGGCCACCGTTACTGATAAGAATCCAGCGTGTCACCGCTTGGCAGAGGCAGGGCTATGAGTCTGCAGCGTGGAGGGTGAGAGAAGGGAACGGACCGGAGAGGACATTGATTTTCTTAGAGGAAAAAGTGAGCAAGAATGACCTCAGTGGAAAAATATTTTCTCTCTCTCTTTCTGTCTCACGGACAAATATAGCCCTACACGTTATGCAAAGGCAGCGCTCAAGCATGCTTGGAATGAGCGACTTGGAAGGCAAATTGCTACCACTTGTCCTCACCCTTGTTTTTTTGGCTTTTATTTCCTCTTTTCCCTTTGCCTTCTCCCCTCCAGCCTGTCCCCAACAGCTGCCACAAAGCAGCTCCTCAGAGAGGAGACAGGGGTGCCACCAGTAACCACCACAAGAACAACCACTGGTCTTCACAAAAGCGACCTGGGAGGAACTATGGATTGAAGGAAGAAATGTTTGGGTTGAGCATTAGAAAGGTCTTTCCAGCAGTAAGGAAACACTGGATCAGGCAGCCTGGAGATCTCTCTCACCCCTATCCCCAGGTGGCTTTTGGAACCCGGTCAGCAATATCTGTCTGGAACGGCACAGGAACTCATCCCTCCTGACAGGCTCATTGCTCAGTCACAGACCAGACCATTTTCTTGCTGCCCTATTTCTGCAAAATTTCTTTCTCTTTCACTATGAACATCATTGCAGAACATGTTGGAGTCAAAAGGCTGCCAAGTACCTTGAGCTGTTCTGATTGCCTCCTGTTTCCCCAGCCCCAGCTGTGTGTTCCCAGAGGCTGCAGCTCCTGTGGACCTGCAGAGGAAGCCCTCAGAGGGGCTGGAGGGGCCTTGACACCCACGCTGCCCCATAGCCAGCAGAAACATCCTGGGGGAGCTTTCTGAGCAAGGCTCCCATCCAGTGGTGGTTACCATCGCTGGCATTTCACTGTCAGTGCTGAAAACCTCAGCCTTCTGGTGAAACATGGACTTGCTCAGGAAAAAAAATTCCAAATGCAGAAGCATGGTACGCCCATGGCTGCTCCAGGGGAAGGAGAAGGAAGACCCACATTTGGGTGCAAAGAAGAAATCCTGCCTTGCACTGCCAGAATTAACCAACACCTTCCTTGTCCTCCTCCTCCTCTAGGCCTGATAGAAGCAGCTCCCAAGCCTTGGAGCCAGCTCTGCAACCAGACCTGGGACTAAACGAAAGAGGCCAAGTATTCTTGCTCACCATCTCACCACAGGCCTGGGGCAGAGGTGGGTTTTACAGACCAGAGACTCCCAGGACAGAGCTGGGGAGTCCCAGAAATAAGTTACCTGGGGAAGAAACGGTTGGGCCAGCCTTTTTCACCCAAGGTGGCCGTGTCCAAATGTTTTACATTTCTGTATCACTTGCCTTGGCCAAGAGGTCCCAGCTTCTGCCCGTGTTGGTTTCTGGCAGCTCCCTTCTGGCACTCGTCACACCTCCGAGGGCAATTTGGATCCACTTGCTGGCACCCCCACGGGCTGTGAGCATCGGAGCAGGACCCATCCCTGTGGAGACAGACACCCAACACAGACACCCAACACCTGTCACTCCAGGGGCATCATCTGGCTCGTCCTCTTAACTCAACAAGTAATAAGTAGTAGTAGCAATATCAACATCAACACCAGTAACAACAGCAATGTTTCCCTTCCAAATGCAGAATAATCCCCATGATGAAGGGACATGTCTTTAATGAGGAAAGGCTGAGGGACTTAGGTGTTTTTAGTCTGGAGAAGACTGAGGGGGGATCTGACCAATGCTTAGCCCCAAAAGGGTGGGTGTCAGGAGGATGGGGCCAGTCTTTTTTCAGTGGTGCCCAGTGACAGGACACGAGGTAACAGGCACAAACTGGAACACGGGAAGTTCCATCTAAACATGAGGAGGAACTTCTTTTTTATGAGAGGGTGACTAGATGATCTCCAGAGGTCTCTTCCAACCCCATATCATTCTGTCATTCTGTCATTCTGTGATACGTTCTATTTATAAGAAAAAAATAAAAATGAAGATATCAAACATCTTCCTCAAACTCTACCTGTGAGACGTGGAAAGTGACACGGATATCTTCATTGTTAACCCTCATCTCAGCCACTATGTAGAGGAGTCAGAAAACATCTGCAGCCCTGTCTCTAGGATGTGCTGCTCTGCTCCTCATTTTCCAAAAGGAAAATGGGAAGAAGCAGAGCCAAAGGAGTTGTAGTCACCCACGGGGGCAATGCCATGTCCACCGTGGACGGTGAAGGCTCATGGTCTGGGCAGTGCAGAGGTAAGAACACCCTCTTCTCCCACAGCTGAGGTTTTTGCCTGCCTTTACTTCAGGGTTGCATTTCCCTCTTTTCTTGCACAAGGGTGATGCTGAGAGGGTGGAAGAGGTTTCTCCTCCACAAAGCCAGCTGTGCCTGGTCTCCAAGAGATCAATCAAATGGGAGGAAACGAAAACAAACAGATCGATCTGTAAACAGAGAGACTTTTCTCAGTCTTTCATAACCAAAAAAAAAAAAAAACCCCAAAAATAAAAGCAACAATTATCTTCCCTAAAAAATAACAGCAAATGTCATCTGCCAGCGCTGTTATTTCCACTCCTGGTGGGGAGGCAGACTGGTGCTGCTCCCAGATTTTCTATGAATGGGCCAGGAAGCAAAGCAATTAGCCAGAAAATAATAAACCATTCATCCAAGCACAACAGCCAGCAGAAGAGCGGCTGTAAACAAGTCCAGCTTTCTTCCCTCCTCGCCATTGCAAGCGCTCGGAGGCTTCAGTGAGAGGTGGCAAAGCTGTGAGTGGTGGGACCTGCAGGACACAGCCAATTCCCCCCCTCGCCGGGGCAGATTTTGTGCCCATGAAGAAGCATGAGGATGAGGTGGTATTTCACAGAATCACAGAATCACAGAATCTTCTAGGTTGGAAGGGACCTTAAAGATCATCTTGTCCAACCGTCAACCTAACTGACAAGAATAGACACCCACACAACAAACAAGGATCATCACTAAACCATACCTCCCAGCCCTACATCAACCCGTCTTTTGAACACCTCCAGGGATGGGGCCTCAACCCCCTCCCTGGGCAGCCCATTCCAATGTCTGAGAACCCTTTCAGTGAAAAAATTTTTCCTAATATCCAGCCTGACCCTCCCCTGGTGCAACTTGAGGCCATTTCCTCTTGTCCTGTCGCCTGTGACTTGAGAGAAGAGACGTATTTGCCCACCTAAGGAGTCATTTGTGCTTGCAAAATTTTAAAAATTAAAATACTATAATTCCCCAAGCTTCATATAGAATTTTGGTATTTACAACCTGCAAGAAGAGTCCATCTGATACTGTCGACTGGGTTCAAGCCAGTTTGTAACCCACCTTAGGTTTCCAGTCCTTACTGGTGCAACACCTGTGCTGCCTTAACACCATTACGACCGAGCTCTTCCTCACAATGTCTCTGGGATTGGTAAAAATCCACCTTCACCCCAGCTCTTCCTCTGCAAACGTTCCCCAAACAACTGTGGTTGCAGCAGGGCCATGGTGGAAATGAGAAGAAAAGCCAAGGGGAACCCGAGCTGGGAGCCAAACCCTTCCTGGTGGCCTTATGTCAGGCACCTGCCCAAGTCAAAAACGATGTTTGTTGACAAATGAGTTTTCAGTCAAAAATAGTGCATAAAGGAGAAAATGCTGAGGGTCCAACTCACCCCATTTGAGCCGTGCAGCCTGAGCAGAAGCATACATCCCAATGCAGATGCATTCCCTCAAATGCCTTGACCTAATGGGACAGGATGACATGGAAAGGAAACAATAAATGCAATTTGTTAATATCCAAAAGGAGAGAGAACAAATTTAAAGCAAAAAAAAAAAAAAAAAAAAGAAAAAGAAAGGGAGAGGCTCTTCACTCACGGGAGGAGAAGTAACGGGCACGGGATGAGAGGAGGAAGAGCTGTCCTGTCCAGGTGGTCACCCGTGTGACACTGCAGAGGGTTTTTAAAAGCCAGAGCTTCTCTTAGGCACACGTCTCAGGAGGTAACAATAACATTGTTTAGTTTGGCACCTTCACAGCACCCGACAAGCAGGCATCCAGAAAGGCTCTTCTGATTGTTTTGCTCCATAAACTGTGAATGCAGGCTTCACGGGAGGAAATTTCTCTGTGATGATAATCCCTGAAAAATACCCAAAAAAGCCCATGCCAGAAGGGTCTGCTGCAGGGCAAGCATTAACCCTTTGACCCCTGGGGCCAACTGCCCCTCTCAGGAACTCGCATCCCAGTGGTTTGGGAAAAAGCACCATCACTTCGGTGTGCTCATTTTCCAGGTTCTTTGGCAACTATAAATACTTTGTTTAAGCAATTATTTTTTTTTCTATCAGCAAACACAGTATAAAACATGGTTTTGTGTGAAAAGCCCAAAAGCCAAACAGTGAGGGATACCTTTTCACTGCCATCGATCACATGGAGGAGCTGTTTGGAGACTGCTGTCTCTAAATAACACCCTGTGTGTTTGAGAAGTGATGTCTTGGGGATGATGAAAGCCTTCGGATCAATCTCCTTACAGCTTTCTTCATCTGCATGTCCTGGACCTGATGATAGGAAACTTGGGATACAAATCTCTCCTGGCTCTTTTAAAACACTTCATGGCAGAGTTGATAGTGCCATATTGATGAAACCTGACAGCAATATTTTTAAATTTATCATTTGTTTGTTTATGTGTTATCATCATCACTTAGATTTTTGAGTTATTGGGGCACGCGTGGATTTCCTGGCTGAGCCAGAGGACTTCTTCCCCTTTATACCTCACAAATGCATAGTCCCTTCACCACTCCCAAACCTCTTAGGGCGATGTCTGCTCCTGAATGGTGGCATATAGATGGGTGCATAATTCACCCAGTGCCCAGTCTTCCCATCCCATATAGCACAGAAAGATACAGGCAGGCACAGGTCTTACCCAAGAGGCCCTTGTCTCCAGCTGAGCCCTTCTCTGAGCAAGGGCAACTGCCTGGCTGAGGTGGCCCTGGCCTCCCCCAAGGATGCCCCATCCCTCTGTGCTACCCTGGTAATGCAGATTGTGGTCCACTAAGGGCTTGCTGTCCCTTCTCTCTTCCAGGCTCTCTCATAGCCTCTTGCTTCTCTCCTCGGGCCATACACACCGTCACCAGAAGTGTTTCACCATCTCACATCAATTGTCTCCAGCTGAGCCCTTCTCTGAGCAAGGGCAACTGCCTGGCTGAGGTGGCCCTGGCCTCCCCCAAGGATGCCCCATCCCTCTGTGCTACCCTGGTAATGCAGATTGTGGTCCACTAAGGGCTTGCTGTCCCTTCTCTCTTCCAGGCTCTCTCGTAGCCTCTTGCTTCTCTCCTCAGGCCATACACACCGTCACCAGAAGTGTTTCACCATCTCACATCAATTTACATGGGCCAAGCAAAGGGCCAAGCAGGGCCAAATGGATGCTCCAGTAGATTTGGAAGGACTTGCTGAATGATTTCAATTCCCCAGCTCTAATTCAGCATCCCCTGCCTTGAATTGTTGGTCTTTATTCCCAAATGATATTCCAGCTGATGTACACCACCGGGGAAGTCCATACCATTGAAGGCCCAGCACGACCTTAGAAGAGAGGCCAGAGACAAAGCTCCCCATGTCAGTCTGGAATCGTCTTCCTCACCCTTTACCGGGACAACCTAATGAAGGAATCTGAAGAGCTTTGCTTTTGCTACAAGGTTCCTGCTCTGCCTAATTTGCACACACGCTGACCAGAGTAGGGCCCGGGGCCACCCTTCTCTGTGGTGCAGAGGACCTGTCTCCACAGATCCTGCAGCAGAGCAGGCGGAACAGATCTGTCCTACAGGCCGAGCATTTCGTGCTAATTGAATTAATGTCTTCCACTAAGGTCACTAGCTATAAAGTGCTAATTTTCTTCCTGAGCCTGAGGGTCAGATTTTCCAAAGCAAGATACCAAGGAGAAGACTGATGCAACGTGAGCTTCTGATGAGCTACCTCTACCATCTTACCTGGGTCCTGTTTGCAGTGGACTGAGATGTGTTTAGCAGACGTGCTCTGAGGTCTGTAGATCCTGACCACTTGGCCATCACCAGAGGCTGAAGCCACAACCACCACCGTGAAGACCTCCTTCTGCTCCAAGATAAAGAAACACACCCTAAAGCCAGAAAGAACATTGGAGACTTTTACCATTTCACATTGTGTACAGAGATTCGATGTGATTGTGAACAAGGATGTAGTCTTGCCCTACTGCAGATGACCCGTGAACCAGCTGGTGGGTCAGTCAGCTCTGCAGATACGTGGTCTGCATGAAAATCAGGCCTGTGCTGTTCCCTATAGCGCTGAGCTGCGAAAAAAACCAGACCTGTTTACAGCTGCCCCATGCACAAAAATATCCCACCTTTGACAAGACTCATGCAAAAAATCAAGAGGAATAGATTAATACAAAATCACTTAAAGGCATCTTCTTGTCTCATTGAGTTATATTACGCAAAGTAATTACAATAAATACAAGATTAAGTACTTTCAAGCCTCTGAAAACGAGCTGTGTATATTAGTGCCCCTAAACAAGACAGCGCCTGGGATGAGGGCTCTCAGAGGAGATCATCTCTGTCTCTTCCCCTCTGTGCACACACACAAAAACGTTCTCATCTTCCTGATGTCACAGCATGTCCAACAGATAAAAAAAAAAACAAAAACACCCCACAACTAAAACAACCCCAAATCTCACCGACATATCAAAGGAGCACAGCCAGTGGAGGAAACAAGCCCACATCTTACATCAGCCTGCATCCCGTTGCTATGCAACCAGGAAATCCACACGTGTTGCCATGACGATGTCAGTTCATCATCATTCAGCTCACAGGAGTCATCGGTGCGCACATGCCGGGACAGACAAAGATGTGGGATGGAGCAAGAGCACAGCAGCACCTCACGGCCTCTCCCTCAGGGAAAGCATTTTCCCTTGGTGTTTCTCAAACGATCCCACCTCAGATGTCCATGACCACAGCCATGGACAGCATAGAGGTGGGCAACCCGTTCTGTGTAAGGTGGCAGCAGCCTCCTCTCCTGGTTGCTCTCATGGACCTTGCAAGGGTAAATACACAGTCTGGGAAGAGAAGGAGCTGCTTGAATGTCACTGGCAACACCAGCAGCTACACAAGCTTCCACAGCAGTAGTGTGATTGCCTCTATGTTATGATGGTCATGATCAGCAGCACCAAAAATAATGTGACAATATTAAAGACCAGTAGCTGAGCCAACTGGAGTACCGTATGGTCCACGTTAACCCGGGAAGGATGAGCAAGCTGCAGCTTGTCCTGGTGGACAACAGGATGACCACGAGCCAGCAATGTGCCCTTGTAGTCAAGAAGGCAAATGGCACCCAGGGGTGCATCAAGAAGAGTGTGGCCAGCAGGTCACAGGGATCTCGAGGGAGATCATCCTCTTGCTCTGCTCTGCCCTGCTGAGGCCCCATCTGGAGTACTGTGTCCAGTTCTGGGCTCCCCAGTTCAAGAAGGACAGGGAACTGCTGGAGAGGGTACAGCAGAGGCCTACAAAGACGATGAGGGGCCTAGAACATCTCTCTGATGAGGACAGGCTGAGGGACTTGGGTCTTTTTCATCTGGAGAAGAGAAGGTTGAGGGGGGATCTGATCAATGCCTATGAATACTTAAAGGGTGGGTGTCAGGAGGATGGGGCCAGTCTCTTTTCAGAGGTGCCCAGTGACAGGACACGAGGTAACGGGCACAAACTGGAACACGGGAAGTTCCATCTAAACATGAGGAGGAACTTCTTTCCTTTGAGGGTGGCAGAGCACTGGAAGAGGCTGCCCAGAGAGGTGGTGGAGTCTCCTTCTCTGGAGACATTCAAAACCCGCCTGGACACATTCCTGTGCAACCTGCTCTGGGTGGACCTGCTTTGGCAGGGGGTTGGACTAGATGATCTCCAGAGGTCCCTTCCAACCCCATTATCATTCTGCGATTCTGTGATTCTGTGACCTTACCTTGGCTTCACTGCCTTAGATCCTCTTCAGAGGTGGGAAGAGAAGAAAGGGCGCACGTTGTTAACCAGGCCTTGACGTGGAGCCCAGGGGTCAGCAAACCAAACCACGATATTGCAGCACTTGGGCAAGATGCTGTTGAACAAAATCTCTGCCCTCCTGTGAAAAATAAACATTGTGGCCAACAAACACCTTTACTACCCTTCTCCATGCTCACTCTTTGCCACCTGAACTACTGCCCACTGGAAAAAAAAAAAAGTATCAGCTGCCAGTGCCTCAAGCACTGCAAATTATGGAAATGTTATAGAGCATAAAATTTTGCCAGGCAGGTGTGATAGCTTGGTCAGGCCTTGAACATGCTGGAGGCATCACAACTGGTTTGTGCCCCTCATGTGGATGAAATGGCAGATGATCTCAAGTCATCAGATGAGTTACAGCTGATATTGGACCAGCCCTGGCAGATAAAAAACAATGGGGAGGAGGGAGAAATCCTAGGGGAAGACACAGCTGGAGGGGAGGATCTGAAACAAGTTGCTCTAAGGGGCTGATCAAAATAAGTTTGCAGTCCAAGGTGACAGAAGAAGGGGCAGCTGGTGTTGAACACTATGGGAAGTAGACTTACCATGCTGGGATGCAAGCGAGAAGGTCAGCCCTGCAGCTGCAGCAGTTGGGCTGGGACAGTCTGATGGTCCTTCTCTCTGCAATGTCCATCACCCCTGTAGGGTTGGTATGTAGATCTCAAAGATGGCTTTTCTGGTTTGAGAAACAACAAGCCCTTCCCTCTTCTCTGCTGAAAACCACAGCTCCTCAGAGAGACAGGACAAAGTCTAGGGACTGCTGATTCCCACCTAAACTCTGCAAGAAAAACAACCAACTCTGTAAAGTCAACAGGAACCATTACAGGGGCTTCTGGATCAACTTTGGGCACCACCAGGCATATTTCCTTCTCTAAATAATCAGTATCTGCTCCAGGGTCAAAGAGCCAAAGCGCTGAGAACCAGAGCATGGGATACTCCAAATCCTGATCCCACTCATGGATGTTCTTATCCCAGAGCAAGGTGTGCTGGCAATGAAATGCAAATTCAGCTGTTGCTCTGCTTGTATGTATTTTGCCTATAAACCCAGCAAAATACTTGCTCTACTTTTGCCTTTTTTTTTTTTTTTTTTTTTTTAATAATTTAAGGTTGCAACGCCTGTCTGTGTGGTAAACACATAGGAATAACATTAAGAAAATGGAAAAATGCCAGTCTGCTCATGCTTGGAGCAAGCACCCAGGCTTTGGGTTTAAAAATAACCTTTAACTTCCATTTAATAACTGCTATCAAAATCCTATCATCAGAATCCTAATGCATTTTTTTTTCCTACTTCCCGCTTTCCCCCTCCATCTAGTCTGAGGGAGGAATGACAAAATATTGTCATTAGGTGTCCTCCACGTCTCCTTACGGCTCTTTGTGATTTGGCTGGCATTTGACTCAGGCATTTCAAAGAGCAAATCCTGACACCACACACTTTTGGCTTTTGGTGCCCTCGGCATCCTGGGGCAAGGTGCTCCCCTGCTTTTTTGTTCACTGTGCAAAGACCCAGCTCCTTCTTGCTGCCGCCCCGCCACCACAAGTGATGCACAGGGCAGACTTCACATCGGGGGGGCATGGGGTGAGCCTTCGCCCATGGGTGCTCATGCTGCTCCACCTCCCCATCTCCTGGCCAGCACCCAGCTGCAGGGGTCTTCTTCCCGGCCTCAGAGCAGTGTCAGAGCAGAGTGGTGGCTTTATAGAATCATAGAATGGTTTGGGTTGTAAGAGACTTCATAGATCATGGAGTTCCAACCCCCCTGCCATGAGCAGGGCACCTCCCACCAGACCATGTTCCTCAAAGCCCCATCCAGCCTGGCCTTGAACCCCTCCAGGGATGGGGCAGCCACAGCTTCTCTGGGCAACCTGTTCCAGTGTCTCACCACCCTCACAGCAAAGAATTTCTTCCTGAGATCTCATCTAAATCTCCCCTCTTTCAGTTTAAAACCGTTCCCCCTCATCCTATGGCTCCCCTCCCTGATGAAGAGTCCCTCCCCATCTCTCCTGTGTCCCCTTTCAATTTCTTTGCTGTTTGGCTCCCAAGTGCTCCAGCGGGTGATGAACCAGTAGCTGCAGGACAGCAGGAGAAGGCTTGGAGAGGGAGCCACAGAAACGGCTTTCAACAGCTGGCGGGGGGAAAAAATAGCTCTGCTGGCGCACGGCTATAAAAAGGTTTATGTGCTGCACTTTGAAGGAGAAAATTGACTCCATTACAGTCAAGTGGCTCGGTGCCTTCAGCTGTGTCTGGACACTTCTGATGCGCAAGGAAATTGTTTTGATGCCTTTTGTTGTGCTCCTCCAGCAGAGCTATGCCCCTGTCGTGCTCAGCCACCTGCTCTCCACACCACTGCCCACCCCGTGCCTGCTGGACCCAGGGGATGCAGGAATAACTGCATCAACGCTCTTCCATCTTCCCTTGGTCCTGCCCCCATGTTTTCCTAGCTACTTTTGAGCCCACAGTCCCTCCTGTGTGGTTGAACCCCTCATTTCCATTGTTGTCCATGGGCTGCTGCTCTCACCCAAGGGCCTTGTGGCTGCAGCACAGGGTTGGAGATCTCCTGCGGGAGCAGAGTTGGTGCCTCAGGCTCAGACAGATGGAGGCAAAGATTTGGTCCAAGTTTTTATCTGTCTCAGACAATGAGAGCACCTCTTGCATTTGCTGCTCTGCATTTCTCACAGGAGATCTCCCTGGTAGGCAGCAAAGAGTGACCATACTCCATAGAGGCCTACAGAGAGATGGGAAGGGAGTGGAGCCATAGGACGAAGGGGCCTACAGAGAGATGGGAAGGGAGTGGAGCTACAGGATGAGGGGTAATGGTTTTGAACCGAAAAAGGGGAGATTTAGATTAGATTTCAGGAAGAAATTCTTTCCTGTGAGGGTGGTGAGACACTGGAACAGGTTGCCCAGAGAAGCTGTGGCTGCCCCATCCCTGGAGGTGTTCAAGGCCAGGCTGGATGGGGCTTTGAGCAACCTGGTCTGGTGGGAGGGGTCCCTGCCCATGGCAGGGGGGTTGGAACTGGGTGATCTTTAAGGTCCCTTCCAACCCAAACCATTCTATGATTCTATGATATTGCTGGGTTTGGGCTCTATGCTTCCAGAGATCCTCCTGCTTCCCACACCAGGGGATGCAGTCCCCATCTCCTCTGAGGTTTGGGGGACGTGAGGTTTGTGCCTCTTTGGGACTGTGCCCACGCTCCCAGTGGAGACCCAGTAGCATCGTTTTTTGCACCATTTTGCTGAGGGAACAACTCACCTGGGTGAGGATGCTCGTGCCAGCCGTGCTGTGAGGCTGTGAGTTCAGTGGTGCTTTCCCCGTGTCTTGAAGTATCCAGTTCTTTGATGAACTATAGAGGGGGGACATCACTGAGTGCCACCTCTCTCCAGCCACCCGACACGCTCCCGTGGCAGCCCTGTGCAGGCATCACTATCGTGGGATATGGACATCTGGGACCCTGAAAAAAAACAAAACAAAACAGTTTTTAGCAGAATTTAGCCTCGTGTTCAAGTCTCACATGAAAGCCCAGAGTTTAAAGTGATTTCTGGCTTTGAAATACCCTGTGTGTGTTGGCTGCTTCTGTCTTTGTAAATTACTTGTTTTGTTACCGTCACATACGTTTTATATACAGGGGCTTTTCTGGCAGAGCTTATTCCCCATAGGAGCCCCAGATGCTAATTTTCCCCTCCATGGGCACAGCCTATCAAGCTGCTAATGGAGTACAATGGGTGATGGAGAATGAGGTTTTCATTCTCATCCCAGAGCAGCAACCCCAGCAAGCAGCCGTAGCCAAGTCAGGCTGACATTTAAAGCAACTGCCCAGATTACATTACTGAGATTATATTTAATATGGCTGGCCAAATCTTTCAAACAAAATCAATGTTCTTTTACTTAATAATACCCTTGCCACATCTTAATGAAGGCTCCTCCAGCTCAAGGCCCTATTTTTCTGCAGTCATTTCGTTGTGTGACATCACTGACTGCATCAGATGGTACATAATGCTATTTTCATCCGTTTCTATTGGATTTTATGCGTTCCCATCCTTGATTTGTCAATTGCCGGATCAATTAATCAAGGGACTCTTAGGGGAGAAACATTTTTATTACTGAGAAGGAAGGGTAATTCATTTAAATTCTGCATCTTCCTACAGCATCCAACATCTATTATTAACTCTCTCCACCGGGCACGGACAGAAGGATGACGAGGGACCTACGGACCAGTCTGTGGCCACTTGAGGTATTTGCAGAAGTAAAACACAGGCTGGGCTGAGCCCTGGTTTGCCCCTTGGGTCTCACACCAGGGAAGAAACCCAGGCAGTGCCCTCCGAGCCCAGGCAGCCCCAGGGGAGCTGGAGGGGGTCCCATGGTAGGTCCCTGCACGAGGCTGAGCCCATCATGGCCAGAGCCCAAGCAGCAGTTGCAACAGCTGTGGGCAAGACGAGAAAGACACTTGTCATCCCAGTAAATTCAATTTTATTAGTGATGCCTGAAGAAATTTAGCCGAGACGGGAGCCATACTCAAAACTTTGGGCAATTACAGAGCCTGGCATAAGCCTTTTCTGGAAGCTCAGGGGGAGGTGAAGGGGGGAAGTTAATTTATGTATCAGCTGGTGCCTGTCTCAGGGTGAAATGTACCCCAGCTGGGACTCCTCAGTAGCCTCCTCAAGCTGTAATTTTGCTGCAGGCCCAGCTCCGGTATATTCCAGAAAGCAGGCTCCTGGCCCCAAAATGAGCACCAGCGACTGCGTTTTCTCCCATTACCTGCAGCACAGGCCTGGTGCCTGCCCACAAGCATGTTCCATCCCTGGGATCATAGAATCATAGAACGGTTTGGGTTAGAAGGGGCCTTAATTGAGTTCCAACCCCCCTGCCATGGGCAGGGACACCTCCCACCAGACCAGATCACTGTAAGGTTGCCCATCATGACACTCTCTCCCAAAAATGCAACATGGCCCAACCATCAGGAGACTCCATAGCAAGTTTGGTGGCTGGAGAAACCAGCCAGGAGCTCGTCCCAACCAGACCATGAGCTCAACACATCAAGTCTAAACACTTCCAAATGCATTTACAGCCAAATGGGAACAGTTTTTGCTCTGGACAATGGGGCTGCACCATGATCCATCCCTCTACCCAAACCTTTTTTAGATGTAGCCCTGGTTTTGGAATCAGGTTGCCACCCAAATTGATTGCCCATGGACACCTCCTCACACCCCAGCTGACCAAAAAAAAGGCTGGTGGTCCTCTCCGTCTGAAGACATCCTCCCTCTGATTGTGGGCTACAGAGATTAAAAATAAAGGAAGAAAAGGATTATTTAAATAGTGCCTCCGAAGAGGAAAAATAAAATTGCACAGCCCATAATCCAGTTTGCCATTTTTCCATCCCATTAACCCCCTCTCTAAGGAATTATTATTATTGTTTGTCAGTAGGAAACCTGGTGGGGCCGGGGTGAACACAGTCCTTCCTGGCCACCAGCCTCCACCTTGCTGCAAGAGGACACAAGCTCACCATTGCTCTGGGCTCCCAACAGCCCTTCTACCCCCACTCCCACCCAGCAAGAAGACCCCCCACCACGTTTTGCAGCCACAGGAATTCGGGACCAGCAGCAGACACACCAGGTGGCCACATCTCCCCCTGCCTATGGCGTCTGTCAGGTTCATTTGATGATCAGTGGTTGCTCCATGAGGACACGTGGAGCTGCTGGGACTGCTGGCGAATGATAAAGGTAGGGCTTTTGTGTCCTGGGGTTTAAAAATTAATTTTAAAAAAAAGCAATTTTGGAGGTGTTTGTGGGGAAATGTGGGGGAAACGGGGAGGGAAACGTGCCTTGCAAGCCCATCCAGGGGATGTGGGGTTGGGGAAGGAGAAGCTGCTGTGGCAGCTGAGTTATCTGCGGAGAGGACTGAGGGGAGCAGAAAAATGCACGGGGACATCTCTGCCAGCTTTTCCCAATAAATTACCTTGCTCAGGAAGCACCCAGGGGGTAGGACCAGCCCCGCAGCTACATGTGAATCACTCCTTTTCCCCAGTCACTGTGGGGCAGAGCTTCATCCCAGAGAGGCCAGGGCTGACCAGTGCGTCCATGTGGTGGTACTCGTGGGTTGGGTCTCCGAGCCTCTGCCGGGAGCAGAGGGGAACTGGCACCCAGGTGCTTGGCCAGTGAGAGTCCAGAATGACTGATCAAGTGCCACCAGTGGCATGGGAGGACTTTGCAGCGACCACACAGACAAGAGCAACAAGTGTGGAGCAACAAGATGGTTCTCTCCAGCTTTACCCATCTGGAAAGGAGGATGGAAAGCTCCTGGTGCACTGATAAGACCTACGCAGGCTCAGATGGTCATGGCTTGTCTTCTGTATAGATGATGCCGTCACACGGGAAGCAAGAAACACACAGCCCAGGCCATCTCCAGCCTTCATGCTCCTTCCACACAGGATGTCCTAAGTCACAAAGCCAAAACCCAGAGCAGGCAGGTGCACCCAGAATTGCCAGGCTCAGAAGAAGAGCGGTGGTTATGGCATGGATCAGGGGGGGTCTTTCTCCTCCTTTAGGCCCTGGTTCAACATCCACCACCACAGCAGAAGTTTGAAAGGAAGCTGAGCCCAGCGTGGAGCCTGCCTTTTCCGAGACGATGAGCATCTGAGGAGAGCATCACAACCCCAGCCAGAGCCGGAATGGCACATGGGGGCCTCTTGACCTTGGCTCCCTGAACAACTCCACGATGCCTTTTTTTTTGCAGCCGAGTCGTATTTTTAGGTCCTTCTCCCTCCCTGCTGATTCATTAGGGGAGCTAATGTTCTCCCAACCGCCGGGCATCTGACCCTTGAGGTGTGTACGCTGCGCTCTCCTGATAAATATAGACCACTTCAATTGCATAACCTGTCTAATAAGCAGCGTCCGTCCTCCCCGCGGGCACGCGGGGGACCGGGGACCGAAACGCCTCCGCCAAGGGTGTGAATGGACGCCTATTTATTTATGTTATGCCCACTGTCTTCTATTTTTGATGACTTCCTGCTGTATCGACTTAATGAGTGACTCAGGGTTGGGTGGCCCTGGAAGTACTCCAGGTTTGGAGGGACCTCTCCGCTCTGCCCGTCACTGATGGTGTGTGGGGTGAGGTCCTCCCTTTCTGATCTTCCTCTCGGCTGGGGGAGATGCAGCAGAGTGGGATGGGACAGGAGGATTAAAATTTGGAGATGTAGCTTTAGGGCCACAAAGATGCTCAGAGGGCTGGAGCAGCTCTGCTATGAGGACAGGCTGAGAGAGTTGGGGTTGTTCAGCCTGGAGAAGAGAAGGCTCCAGGGAGTTCTTAAAGCCTCTTCCAGTCCCTAAAGGGGGCTACAGGAGAGATGGGAAGGGACTCTTGATCAGGGAGGGGAGCCATAGGATGAGGGGGAATGGTTTGAAACCACAAGAGGGGAGATTTAGATTAGATCTCAGGAAGAAATTCTTTCCTGTGAGGGTGGTGAGACACTGGAACAGGTTGCCCAGAGAAGCTGTGGCTGCCCCATCCCTGGAGGGGTTCAAGGCCAGGCTGGATGGGGCTTTGAGCAACCTGGTCTAGTGGGAGGTGTCCCTGCCCATGGCAGGGGGTTGGAACTGGATGATCTTTAAGGTCCCTTCCAATCCAAACCATTCTGTGGTTCTATGCAAGCCGGGTTCATTTCCTCATGGATGTGTCAGAGCATTTGGCAGCCTGGGGGCAACCGAAGGACTTTATACCCAGGGGTGCAATGGTCTGTCACTGGAAAAGGCACCTGGTTTGGTTCACAGAGCAACAAAAGCACCGACCTGCACGCTGTGTCCGTACAGAAGCTTAAAAAGCCCACGTGCTTGGTAATAAATACATCTTGGTGTCAAACAGCAAGATTTCAGCAGCGTCGGGCTGCTCTATTAAGAAATGAACATCCAGTACCTTTAGGACCTAGGTGTGACGGCGATGGCCGAGTGGCAACATGCTGAATAATCATTCAATAAATCTTTCAAAGTACAGAACAAAGCACTTATTAATAGACTCGACTAACGAATGCGGAAGCGGGGGGTTTGCGCAGTGATTTTTCACCCCTGGTTCCTTGTGGCACTTGCAGCAAGAGCCCCACGGACAGGACCCAGCGAAACCACGTCTGCCCCCACGTCAGGAGGTTTCTCTCCTTGAGAAACACTCAGGGATCTACTAATCATGAACCAGTGAAAGGCTCGTGTTGTTTGGAAGGAGAAGTGGCCATTTCCATCAAACGAAGGCATCCTTTGCCGTCAGTTTGGTGTGGCTCAGCCAGGCTGGCCACGAGCAGCACTGCGATGGCCAAGGGGGCTGTTGAGACAGCTGGAGTGACATTTATGACAAGGACCATCCCACCTATCCACGTGCTGTCCCTGCTGTGCAAGCATCCAGCGTGTCCTGTAATAACTCTAATAGCTTTTATGCAACGGCTAAGGATGAGAAAGCTAATTAAAGATGAGGTATTCAACCTCCTTGGTTTTATTCCTGTCTTTATCTAATAGTCAGCAGCCTGATCCCTTCCAGCATCCCCCAGGACAAGCTCCAGGCTGCAGCGGGGCAGAGGGCTGGTCCCAGAGCAGGGGGCTCTGCTCTGGCCTCCACAGAAGCAAATAGCTGGGCTTTTTGCTCCTGGAGCACCCCTCTCCTGACGTGCTGTGGCCTGCCACCAGGCTGAGGAAAAGGACAACCGTGACCAAACAGGACTCTCAGGGAGCTGGAGCCTCTTTTCACCCCCAGCAATGGTTGGTGGCACAGCATGGTGTGTGTCCCCAGCAGCAGCACACCCCCAGGAGGTGTCCCCAGACCCGCTGAACCTCCTGGGAAGCAGGAGGTGCTTGAGGTGGCAGACCTGACAGCAGACCCCAAACTGCCTTTGCCCCAGGGTCTGTGTTCCACCCGAGGTCCAAACTAGGTCTGGGGCCTGTCCCAGCCTGTAGCAGAGGACACCGAGCCCCGCTGCTCCTTGTCCACAACGTTCTCCTCTACCTCCCGGCCTTCAATGATGCAGAAAGTCTGCTAAGGACTTTTCCTGCTGGAAGGACTCAGCAAGAAGCAGCTAATGCAACCTCTCCTGCTCATCCACGCTACTCATGTCCAACGGATAATAAAACCACAGGCTCCTTTCTCATTAATCCCTAATTAGGCTCTCTTCTCACTTACACAGCACTTTCTGTCATTAGCGGGGGAAAGCTGAGAGCCTGCCTTTAACCTTCACGTGTGGTGAGGAGGCAGAAGACCCGAGCACCTTGCTGAGATCTTACATAAAACATCTCATGCTCGCTTTTGGGGGGCTCCTGGAAAAGACACCCCCCCCCGCCTTTCCCCCAGCGAGGGCAGGAAAGCAAAGCCTCTGGAGGAGCACAGCACCTGCAGTGAGGAGGCTGGAGGTGTCACACACTTGACCACTGATGGACCACAAGCACCTCTATCCTGTTACCCCCTGAACCCTTCGGGTTCAGCGTTAACCAACATCCATTCCTCTGCTCCCCACGAGACACCCAGCAGCTCAAGCAGGAGGCAAAGAAATAGTGCAGGGGATGGCAGAGGGCAAAACCAGGGGGTGATGTTAGTGCTGGGTCACAGTGAAGAACCTCGGAAGGGCCAAACACCCTTCCTTCTTCTCCCGAGGGCAGCGATGCCCCCTTGAGAAGAAGCAGGTGGACTTTTGCTCAAACTCCTCCTCTCAGTCTCCTGCACATCCCACCACAAACAGTCAACCCCCACCCCTCCAACCACAAACAGTCTACCCCCACCCCCCCAACATGAAGAACTCCAGAAAAAAGGATGACAAACCATGTGGAGGCCAGGAAATTGGACAGCCTTGTACCCGTCGTGTTGAACCGAAAAGGATGACAAACCATGTGGAGGTCAGGAAATTGGACAGCCTTGTACCCATCGTGTTGAACCACAGAGGAGGTGTCTGGGGCAGCCGGAGGGTGAACGCGTTGGTCTCCGTTACGATTACCTCCTGCAATGGCAGGTAGGACAGAGAAATCCGTTTCTATCATCGCATATTTGAGCTGAAGGAAAAAAAAAAGAGAACTGTCAGCTACCTTTTGAGAGAGACAAGTCACTCGGGAGGGACCACAGGTCGTTGTGACTTTTGAGGGCCGATCTGAAGGCTCTGAGCAAACGCAGACATTGCAAGTGTCACCTCCAGCTGCAGAAGCTGCTACCAGGGTCTTTTGAGGACCGATCTGAAGGCTCTGAGCATACACAGACATTGCAAATGTCACCTCCAGCTGCAGAAGCTGCTGCCAGGGTGTCCTGTGGTTTCTCGTGGTCTTTCTGACACGTGCTACCTGCTGGAGACCCGGGTGGTTCTGTGAGGGCTGCTGTGGGGGGCAGCAGTCACAGCAAGGCCATTCCCCTCGTTTAGCTAACGCGTGACAGCTCCCAAGAAACACAGCCCTGCCTGCCCACACCGGATTAGCATTCAGAGAACAGAGAGGGAAATTGTGGAGCCCGTGATCTGAAGTTACATTAAAGACAGGTCCCTCTGAGAACAGGAACCGTGCCATGGATCATTTCTTGTGTCAGTAATTACACAGGAGATAGCTACAACGGGGGACTTACCTCTGCACTGCCACCTCAGACGTTCTTTCAAGCCACAGCTGCTGCTTAGGAAAAGACTGAAGAGGAATCTGATTAATGTTTACCAATACTTAAAGGGTGGGTGTCAAGAGGAGCCAGTCTTCTTTCAGTGCTGCCCAGTGACTGGACAAGAGGTAACGGCCACAAACTGGAACTTTGGAAGTTCCATCCAAACATGAAGAGGAACTTAACTTCCTGAAGTTCCATCCAAACATGAAGAGGAACTTACTTCCTTTCAGAACCCTGGAAGAGGCTGCCCAGAGAGGTGGTGGAGTCTCCTTCTCTGGAGACATTCAAAACCCACCTGGACACGTTCCTGTGCAACCTGCTCTGGGTGGACGTGCTCTGGCAGTGCGTTGGACTAGATGATCTCCAGAGTCCCTTCCAACCCCAGTCTTTCTGTGATTCTGTAAGCAATACAGGGTAAGCAGCAGAGCAAGACTAAAATGGAGCTGCAGCTCTTGCATGCTCAAAGTCTTCCACATCCCTTTACACGAAGAGGCCAGAAGGGAGGGTAGAGCCAGCCAACCCTTTCCAACCTCCCACAGAAAGAAGGGAGACGAGACGTACCACCCAAACAGCCACAAACCATGGTCGAGCACCCCAAATGATGCCACTCTGCCCAAGACAGACAGCCATGCGACTGAACACAAGGTCTGTGCCTGATGGGTACATACAGAATATGTCACACAGCAGAAAGAAAAAATGGCAAAATTCGACATGTGCAATGCTTCAGGTCTTTATTTTTGCTGTAGAGTAACCGGTACATGGTTAAAACGTTCTAATATAATCAGTGAACTCTGAAAACTAAGGCTTTCTGTAGGTTTGTAGTATCCTGGTGTTTCCTTTCACACAGTGTACATATAAAATCAAGTCATAAAAAGACAGATCCTTTTTTAAACAACAGAGTGATGCAACGCACAAAACAAGGAAACTACATTTCCTATGATAAAGACAACACCTCACAGACCAGCTTCGGGCCCTGCAGCTTTGAAGCCAAGAGAGAAATGCCTTGGTCTGAACTCCTGCAACCCAGACAAGCCTGATGGCAAACAGGGGACGGCAGGATTGCAACCATCTGTGCTGAGCAGAGAGAGAACCACCCCCCTCAAGGTTAACGAGGAAACCATTTGATTAAGCCAAGGAGAGCAGCATCCTTAAATCATGTCATTCATCTCAACCAGGGTAAGCAAGACCTGTAGGTCCCACAGACAAGAGCAGTCACTGATGGGACCACTCACCTGGGAGAAGGTGAGTGGTGACAACCTCCGTGCTAATGAGTGAGACGAGGCTCGGTGCCTTGCCTCCCATGAAAGAGGAGGGTGTGTGATTCCTGGAGAACTAGCACCTTGCACCCTACAGCATCAAAAACATTCCCAAGTGATTTACCCAGCACAGAATCATATGAATTGTTTAGGTGAGAAAAGACCTGTAAGGTCAAAGTCCAACCATAAACTTAACGCTTCCAAGTTCACAACAAAACCACGTGCCTAAGTGCCACCTTAGTGTACTCCGAATAAGGACACAGGGTAATAACAAAACAGTCTCCAAAAAATCTGTATATTAAAACCTTTTGAATAAAAAGCTACATTTTGACCAAAGAGGAAAAAACCAAAAGCATTTGCAGCAAGATCTTCCCCCAGTTCCTTAACCATGTTCTAAACAAAGACTCTTCTATATCCACAAAGCTTTTCCTTTTAATTCCATTTTTCCCCGTCTTGCATTTCTAATTGAGTTGGAAAACGAGGCACGCAATCTGAACATCTACATCCATCACCAAGCCAACCCTCTTCCTCTTGAGATGAGGACTGCTCCCTCACCACGTGCTGCCCTGCACGACGGAGTCAGGCGCTGCAAACCTGGCATCTGCAGCTGACAAGAACATTATTTTGTCTCTTCAGCCCAAGTAGATGGGAGAGGAGGATGAATTACAGATTTCATCACATCACAGTAGGTTCCAGCTGGGAGAAAACCTCTCAGAAGGGTCAACTATGGGATTGCATTTGATTTCATTTTCTGAGCCCAATGCTAATCACACACACAGAGACATAAAATCTTTCACCAAGACTCACATTGATGTTTCTGATAACATTTGATGACACCACAAAGTTCTCTGAAGGACTGAAAAAAAAGCAAAGCTGGTATTTATGTTGCCAACATACGTAACCTGTCCTCTGAAGCCACTCCTGAAGACTACATTAAGGCTATTGGAGTAGGGTGGCCATGGCCTCTCCTGGTGTGAAAGCACAGCCCTGGCTCAGGACAGATCAGAAGAACCCTATAGCTCTCTGCATCAACCAGAAATGAGTTTTTTTAGGTTTTTCCCTTGCGACTCGTTACCTGGATGTGCAGGGAACTGCACCAAAGCAAAGAATTAGCTGAAGAAAAACGAGGCTGTGTAGATTTAAGCTGTAACCATGCCTTCCATATCACAGAATTACATTTTAAAAAGTCCTCAGGGTTCAGAAAGGATCTCTTTCCACTCGTGACAATGAAACACCAGTTGTCAGTCTTCAGGTACTCAAATATAAATATGAAAAAAATCATTAAGAAACATAACCCTAAATATAAACCGAGTTTTATTTGTTTTTAAGAAAAAAGGGATTAAAAAAATCAGAGTAAAATAGATGGCTTCAAGTACTTTCCACATAAGAAACAATTAGTTATTATAAGCATAGATTAAAAAATACCTGTCACCTTGCAAGGGACAGTTGAATAGAGGCTGGTGATTCGTTCAGAAAATGGCCTTTGATACAAACACATTAGACAATATGTTGATAGTGCTGTAATTTAGAAGAAAACAGATGTGTCTACCACGCCGACCCAACACTTCAGGTATTCAACGCAATACATTTTGCACCCTGTACTTCCATACTTCGTGGCAATGTCACGCAACGTATGGAGCCAGGCCACATAGGGTTAACTTAAACAAGCCTTCATGCACTAAACAACAAATATTTAGTAAATCAGGAAGGTTTTGCAGCGACACAGTTGATTGAGTGGTCTAACATTCTTGAGGTTGAAAATCAAATCTAAGGTGAAGTGTCTCCTAAGTGCTGGCAACGTTTATGTCTTTTACTATGTGACCATGAACATGACTTGCATTATATATGACAAGGAACACAACTGGAAGTGCCTTGTCCAGGTTTAAGCCTTCATCTTTCCTGAATGTCACGAAAATAAGGGCAAGTATTATAGTGGGTGCCCCAAAAGAACCCAAAAATCGTGAAGGAGGTCGGAAAAGTAACGATGTCATCAGGAATCAAAGAAAATACCGCAAAGGGAAGATGAAGCTCGATTTCCCCGTGCTGTGACAGGCTGAAACCCATCTCTCCTACTCACAAGGAGACAACCACTGCATCAGATGCATTTCAGCAGGTCTGGCTGATATGCACAGAGCAAGCAATCTTCCTGCTTATCTATAGGGACACTTGAAATGTCTAAGGAAGCAATGTGAAAACCAAAATAAATGCTAAAAAATATATATATATATCTATCTTGCCTACTCTGAAAAATAAATAAAATGTTTTCAGTCAAATAATGTCTACGAAGAGACCTTTTTGAAAAACATTTGCCAGCTACTCAGAGACAGACACTTCTTTTTGCCTCTACCAGAAAAAAAAACACCAATAAACCAACAAAAACCTAGCTCTCCTGTCCCACAGCTCTGCATACTACAGTAGAAACAAGTCTGCTACAGCTAACAGGGAGACCAAAACAGGATGAAACAGCGATAAATGAAAATTTAGCTGCATAGGTCTATTAAATAATCAGTGAAGACTTAAAGGGAGGCAGAGCCAGCACTGTTTTCCGTCCTATAACACAAGGCTGCAAGGCTTGAAAATCCTCCTGGGTGACCAAGAGCGGTAGGTTCAGTAGTGTTTGAAAAAGCTGATGTGAAAATATGATTTTAAAAAACAGGTTTGAGTATTTGAAAGAGAAAAAATAAAAAAAAAAGGAGAGAGAACAACTCATCCTCCAGCTTCCACCTACCATCAAAACATTGTTCAACTTACCAGCTTCCCAAATCCGGTGCTCGCTTTATGACGTGATTACACAGAAATCATCCTTCTGTCTCTTTTAGCCGGACAGTTGGGGTTTCTACATGAAAGTTCAGTGCATTTAGTCACATTTATTAACGTCCTTACGATTGTTCAATAATCCAGCAATTTGTTTCTTAATTACAGCAGAATGCAGTTGGTAGCTGCTTGCGAGAGCAATGTTGACATTACATTCAGAGATAAAAACTACCATTTTCACATGTAGCAATAACTAACATTTTTCTTTCTTTTCACAGAATCGAGTGCAAATGTCTAACAATGGCAATAGTAAAAGACAATTCTCATGCAAAAATTCTTCCCCTGTGCATAAAATTTGCAGGACATCTCCAAACCACCCATTTTTATGCCTTTCCCTACCCCGGAACTAATTGGTTTTCATTTTCATGCCATGAAATTTCTGTCGGTTTTTAAAATACCGATGGCAAGCGAGTTCAATGAGTTCCAGCCCACCAAATATCTTTTGCTGGGCAACGAAAAAGATGATCATGGCTGCAAAATACCAGCGTGCCAAGCTGTAGAGGTACAGCAGCACGAGCATTCCCGGTGGGAATACGGTCCAATAGAGGAGGGAGATGCATTTCACCGCCAGGACCCTGAGCTCGGATTTACACGGTGGGATAATGCTTTGCCCCGTGGTGCTGAAGCACCTTCCACCTTCATAGAAACGTCGGAGTCTCTCCTCTTTCTCCTCCCAACGCTGCCGGCACCAGAGCTGCAGCTCCTCCTTGGAAGTGGGCACTGTCTCTATGGGATATCTCTGGACGTGGAAGTGAATCTCCTTTGGGAAGTTTCCGTTCAAAAGGTGCTTCTCAGTCTGAGGAATGTTTTGGGGGTACGCCACGGTTATGTCATGGATAGCATCGAGATTGTCACCTAGAAGACACGTTTGGGGAAAGAAAGATCAATGGCAATGGTGAGAAGCCAATTCACTTCAAGGCATGACTGGAAACTGTCCGAACTATGGCAGAAACCCCAAAGATACATTATCTACACAGTTTTTTATCTGTCAGAATCTCTAAAGAAAGGTCAGTCTTTCCCCAACCATTATCTGCTCTGAATCTGAGCAAAAAACGTCAGCAAGAAAATTATAGGCAGTACAAAGTAACAGAATTACAACACACTAAGAGGATAAAGTAAAATTTAAAGGAGAGAAGATGCGCATCTGGTCTTGGATAAAGAGCAGAGTACGTGAGACTAATCTTCAGTTATTCACACCTGTGCTGCAAGCTGAAATTGCTTTTAACTAACGAGATACAACTCAGTGTATGTTCCTGTGAACACTGATTCAGCTCGATCTGGAGCAAGCAGCATAGACAACCCTAATTTACTGAAGGCTGAGAAAACGTATGTGAAACATAGACCAGCTACATATCAGGAGCTCGTTAAGTCTGGGGTATCTCACAAAGGATGAGGAGTATCTCTGGAGCTCAGCCAGCTTTGCAGAGTACTCCAGTTAAGACCATTCCTTCAGATCTGGCCAGCCAGTACTGTAAGGAGGTGAGCTGCTCCTTACTGCATTCTGGATCTGGCAAAGGCAAAGTGCAGCATAAAGGTACCACAGAAGCCCAGCTTTAAGTAAACCACATATAGTTAGTTATTTGGGTAAAGTGAGTACAGTTAACCGTTTAAAAAGCAACTGCAGATTAGAAATTCAAGGGAATATTGACAAAAAACCCTCTAACTCTTCATTACCATGCCTGATCCAGCCGACACACTTGAAAGGATACCAGTATTGCCTTTGCTACCACATCTTTGTACTAAGCGTTTTTTACATTTTTGCACTTTTCTAAATGCCCTCTTTCTCCCCCAGCCTCTGACCAGACATTCTTTTCAGATTTCATAAAGTAAATTCTGCTAGTGTAAAACCGCTCTAAAAATAGGCGCCTGGTGCACTGGATGTTGCATAACTGTTAAGATCTGCCAGCAGTGATTTATCCCGCTGTTTTTATTTGGCTGCCTGGCTCGGGGCAAGATAGAATTGGAGACTAAAAGCTGTCTCCAGTTGCAGAGACTGAAGATTTTTTTTGTTCTCATAGATGATGTCACTTCTTGCAGAGATGATCAAAACCTGCTCTTCAGCCCCGCTCCCCCTTTTCGTTTGCTCCCCTTCCCTGGCATCTTGGCTTTCCTCAGAGCTCTAAAAATGACAGGGACGGAATAGAAAGTTACTTTAAAAGGCCATGTTCAAAATGATGTATCTAAAGTTCAACTCCAAATATCACAAGAGGGGGGAAAAAACCCCCATTCAGCCTTTCAGGGTATTTTATAACCGTGCTGTCTTATAGCGATCTCTTTCGGACAGTTTCGTGGTAGGTTACTTGGTTTTTTTGGAAGCTGTATGTGGTTCCTAGGAGGTCTATCAGAGCAAAACTCAATACTCCAGCTTTTGTCTAGCTACAGGATCACATCCTATCTCAGCAGAGCATCACTGTATTCTGCACAGGTGAAACCTTTCAGATCCCCCCTCCAATAGATGCCAAAATTGAACGTGTCATAGAAACCCTGCCCATACAAAGGGAAATGATAGCCAGGCTGCTGCACCTTAGCACAAAGCATTTTAATTCTGAGAACACCTCACATTTTTCCTCTCCTTACTCCAAATATTTCTGCCATTGGGAGGAGTTACAGCCACCCTCCAGGACAGACGTGCCCTTGTTCCTGGCCCAGCCACGGCTGCTACACACGCCTCTAAGAGATCCCCATCTCTTAAAATCTTCCTCCTGATCCTCCATAGCTCCCCAGGTCTCTGTTGGCACATAACATCTACACACTTTACCTCGAGAGGGAGGCCAGAAAAGTTCAGCCTTCCTGAGATCCTTGCATTAAAAAAACAAAGCTTTCTATGAAAAGAGTTTTTGGCTCCATCAGTTTTTCACCCCCCCTGCAGTCATTTGTGTCTTTGCAGCTAAACAGTCCGTCTGCCATTACATGCAAATGTTCTTGAAAAAAGCAAGGCTTTCCACATAAGGATCACTGACATACAGACCACAGACAGTAAATCATCAGATTTGCTTGAGACACAGATTTCCTGACTCTGTGCAAGCCTTGGACTGGCAGGACTTGGCAGGACTCCCTGCACCCACACAGCTGGGCTGACCCCTTCAGCACAGGGATGGATTTCTGCCTGTGAATTCCTCATGACAAACAGGGAAGCCTCTACTCCTCACCTATGGATCTATAGCACCCCCAGACAGATACCCTCCCACGGGGCTTCACGCCAGGCTGTAGAAGGTCTACAATACGTTATGGCTTCTACATCAGTTACCCAGAACAAAGCCCAAAGAGAGTGGTGGACATCACTCTTCCTGCATCACGAATGGGAAACTGAGGCAAAGGATGATGACATGAACCAATCATTGTGTCCAACCTGAGCCAGTATCTCCTGATTCCCAGCTGTGAGGTTCACCTATCAAAGCGTATTTCACGCAAGAAGAAATGAAACTTCAAAGGTAGATTTAGCATATCTGAAAGCACAGCGACATCAGAAAGAGAGAAGGCCAGAACAGTGGGTTTCATGTGCAAGAGGATTAGAGCCTTTCTCAACAGGACCCTTGTTTAGGTCATACATATTTAAAAACTCCACACAAATGGCAGCCTGAAGCTTTAATTCCCTGGCAAGGCAAGCACGTGGAAAGGACCAGCTTCAATCAGTTTTTTACAGCTGCTGAAAGAAGCGTGCCCTGCTCCTGTTCCGTGCGGTAAAGCTGCAGGATCCACACTGCACACTTGAACAAAAAAGGTTCTGCATGTTCTCTGCTGATTTATCAACGACATCTTTTAATATGGACAGGGTCAATGCATCTCTGCCAAACGTGATGAGAGAAGCTGTGAAAAAGGAGAAAAGCTACTGCAGCAGATGGAAGTTCCCTCTACTCCGCTCTGGTGAGACCCCATCTGGAGTATTGCATCCAGCTCTGGAGCCCTCAGCACAGGAAGGGCATGGACCTGCTGGAGCGGGTCCAGAGGAGGCCACAAAGATGGACCTCTTCTATGAGGACAGGCTGAGAGAGTTGGGGTTGTTCAGCCTGGAGAAGAGAAGGCTCCGGGGAGACCTTACATGGGCTACAGGAGAGATGGGGAGGGACTCTTGATCAGGGAGGGGAGTCATAGGACAAGGGGGAACGGTTTTTAACTGAAAGAGGGGGGATTTATATTAGATACTTGGAAGAAATTCTTTCCTGTGAGGGTGGTGAGACACCGGAACAGGTCGTCCAGAGAAGCTGGACTTCCATCCCTGGAAGTGTTCAAGACCAGGCTGCTTTGGGCAACCTGGTCTGGTGGGAGGTGTCCCTGGCCAGGGCAGGGGGGTTGGAACTGGATGATCTTTAAGGTCCCTTCCAACACAAACCATTCTATGATTCTATGATTTGTGAGCAGGGACCAAATTCCTTAGGCTGGATTTAATCAGGCAGTTCTGAACCTGCATCCTTGGCTAGAGCATCTCTACTGTCTCTGTTCTGCTCTGAAGTTAAGCTCATTCTCTCTGCAGTCTGGAGGTACCTAACAGCATGTTTCAGATCATAAACAGAGCACCAATCAACCAGCAAAATAAAGTGATCCTAAGTGAAGACACAGGGCAGTCACTGATTTTAAAGACCTTTTTTCCACCTGAATACAAAGATCTGCTTAAAACACCTGCTTCTGCACATTTTAAGGAGAAATCACCCAAGGGGAAGTTACAACATTCTACTTCTCTAGTAGGTCAAAAATGAAGTAGCCAAGCGTATTTGTTCATAGCTCAGAGAACCTTTCAGTGGACACACCACTTTTTGCAATGCTTTCAGTGACATCTGAGGGATCTGTTTTATCCTGTGTGTATCCACATCCCATTGGGGAAGGGATCAAGGACAGAGGAAATCAAATAATGTTCACGGTTTTGCATCTGAAATCTAATTAAGCTAAGAAACTGCCATTAAGGTTAAAACGTCAGGCAGATAGCCCATCTCTTCAGGCCAAAGAGACAAGAGCTTCAGTTGCTTTAGCGTCTCACTATTTTCTTCCTGCAGAGTTGAACTATATATCCTTCATAACAGAAGCACAGAATCATCATGGTTGGAAAGGACCTCTGAGATCACCGAGTCCAACCACACACACACAAAAAAAACCCTACAATCTCGGCTACTAGAGCATGCCCTGAAGTGCACATCTACATGTTTCTTAAATACCTCCAGGGATGGTGACTCCACCACCTCCCTGGGCAGGCTGTTCCAGTGCCAGACCACTCTCTCAAAAAAGTAATTCTTCCTCATATCTAATCTAAACCTCCCCTGACCCAACTTCAGACCATTTCCTCTGGTCCTGTTATTATTCACTTGGGAGAAGAGGCCAACACCCACCTCTCTACACCCTCCTTTCAGGTAGTTGTAGAGGGCAATGAGGTCTCCTCTTCTCCAAACTGAACATGCCCAGTTCCTTCAGGCTCTCCTCATATGACTTGTTCTCCAGACCCCTCACCAGCTTGGTAGCTTTCATAATCATGAACAATACTCTGTTCCATGCTTTATAAAAGCACCTCAGAAAAAGAAAGCTTACTACAGCGCTCAGGAGTGAATACAAAGCTTATTTGTGATTATTGCTCTACAGCCATAAATTGTGTAACGCGTACAGGATGATTAATCCATGTGGCGGTCTCCGTTTTTGGGATGACAAAACGCCTCAAAAGCACTATTCTTTTTAAACTTTCTGTGCTCCAACCAAAGTTATTTATATTTCAAGGCCCTGCTGATACACGACATTACTTCAAGTGATCACAATGCACAGCTGGTTGCTCTGGGCATTGCACTCAGAGGTGGCAGAGCAGGAACTTAGCAGACCCACAACCAAAATAACAGCATCAGAGAAAGATGCCTTCTTTTAAAAAAAAGTACTTCCAA